TTTAGTTACATGGGCAGCCACGTCAACCTTAAATAATTTAAAGCATAATTGAATAAGCATAGAGAAACCCATAGAAATATATCTATATACATATATGTGTATATACAAACATGCGAACAGGCATGCATACATGCGTCTGCATATGTAAACAAACACACACACACACACAGTTACATAAATATTGCATATTTAGATACATACATACATACATGCATTTACACTGGGCTGATCGCAAACACCGTTACCTTTTCTTCCAGGAAAAGCAACCGTTGCCGAATCAGCCCCCAACACATGCATATAAATATATATATAGCTACACACTTGCATATGTATGTATGTACATGTGACTAATATACATACATATTTATTATTTGGGCCACACGGAGTTTGACCGAACGCGCTCACACATGTGCATGTATGTGTGTGTGTGAGTGTGTGCGCATCTGATATGGCAGCAGCTCGTGTCCGGGCGCGATCTGCCTGTCTGTCAGTCAGTCTGTCTGTCTGTCCGGCCCCATAGTTAAGGCGAAATAAAACATTACCTCATACTTTAAATACTTATGATAACAGTTAAACGTAGAGCTCTACGCATATGATACGACTATAGGCATCATATATAAATATATATATATATATATATATATATATACAAAAAGAATAATATACATATATATACATATATATATTAATCTGTTTTTTTTTTTGTTATTTGTAGAAATCTTAAACTAGGAACTTATGAATTTATTTTCAAAATCATTTTAAACGAATTGTTTGCGTAACATTTAAGAAGCTGAGCCAACTTTGGCAACGCACCGACGTTGTATGCCCTTCCGTGTCCAACTCTGGCATTGGCAACTTTCATTATACGCGCATAAATTAAAAAAAAAAGGAAAACTAAACTATTCTATTTACAAACTAATATTATTTTGAAGACATTGCTATTTGTACATTTGTGCACTGTAAAGTATGGAAAAAAAAAACAAAACTAAAACAAAAGCTTGCTAAATGAAGTTATGAGAACCGCGCAAAAGTTTGTCATACAACAAATATATACATACATATATACATATACATATTTGTATATAATAAAATATAATATATATATCTACACCTACGTGTACATAGATTGAAGTGAAGTTATTTATACATTTGCGTCTATATATATATATATGTACGTATATATATATATGTGTAAACATGCAAACAGAAACTATTATATACAAAATATATGCATATACACACATACATACGTATTTGTATATATATGTATATTTATGCGTATATATTTATGCATATTATATATACAATACTTATTTACATTGCATATTTTAGCGTTTTATTCGAAAAAAAAACAACACTGAAAAGAAAAAAAAAAAAAGAAATTAAACAAAAAACGAATAAAAAATAACGTAGAAGTGAGGTTAACGCTGAAGAAAATGTTCTTTTTTAACAAAACAGCAGAAATAAAAAGAAGTTATTAAAAACTTAAAAAGAACAACAACAAATAAAAGCATATTTATACCGAAATCAAGCGAATGCATTGGCATGTTGAACGTTACGAAAAGAAACAAAAATTGAATTAAATAAATATTATTAACAATAAATATGCGCATTAAGCATTTTTTGCAACGCTGTAAATGTCAAGCATAATGTAGAGAAATATCCGCAACTTTTTATATGTACGCACTTTTCTCCTTTTTTTTTTCTTTTACCGTTATGTACTTTTACTTTTCCTCTTCTTGGTTCCAGCACTTTCTACGAACTTGGCCGGACAAAGCTTTAAGATTTTGATCCCACACACACACACACTCTTCAATCTCTCTCTCTCTCTCTCTCTCACTCATCCAATCTCTCTCTCTCTCTCGCTCTCTCTCTCTCTCTCCCTCGCTCCCGCTTTTTCACACAGCGCTTAAAAGCGCTTGAAAAAGCTTCACAAAGCTTCACGCAGCTCCTTCAAAAACATAAAAAAGCACATTTTTTATGATATATAAAAAACTCTGCCAAACATTGCTAAAAACTAAAAAAAAAATATATTAAAAAATTAACACACAATTCTTATTTGAAAATAGCAACAAATTGTAAACAAATCTTATAAAAAACAAAAACAAAAAAAACAATATTATATATGACTAACTAAATATACATAAAAATTAAAAATAAAAACAAAAAAAAAAACAATAAAAGGAAACGCAGAAAACCATAACAGAAATGCTTATTTTATATATTTAAACATACAACAATAAACAGAAATGACCATTAAAAAATTATTAAATTATATACATAATATATATATATAAAACAAAAAAAAAATATCAGATATATATATATGTATACATTATATATATGATTTTAAATAGTGTTAAAAATACCAAATGAAACAAAAAACAAACTGAAACAAAAACTTAAGCAGAAAAAAGGAAAAAAGAGTTTTTCAAATTTTAATAGTTTTCAGTGGAAACGGCTGAGACAGATAGAATGTGCGCATTATTATTAACTTATTTAATATGCAAAATATACACACACATACATACACATACACATGTATATGTACATGGTGTATCTGTGTATCTGCTAGATTACAGAGAAAGAAAAGAACAACAAGAAACGGAAACATAATACACACGGTAAAACATGAAAATGAACAAGAACAAGAACAAGCGAAATACATTTTTAAACAATGGAACGAAAAAGAAAACAAAAAACAAAAAACCAAAAAACTCAAATAAAAGGAAGAAAAAACCAAAACAAAAAAAAAAAAAAAAACAAAAACAAAAAAAAACATAATTTCAATTGTAGTTTTTATATTGAATTGGATCCCATAGATTCTATATGATATTACAAATTGGTGAGTATCTATATAGGGATATATATTTTGCTAGCCGGATATAGCTAGATGTTTGTTTAGCTGGCTAGATATAGCTAGATATATGTTAATTTAGCCAGAATATAACAAGAAGTTGAAGATATTTCCCATGCAAAGCTCTCTTTTTGTTCGCCTTTTAAAACAGTATATGTATATTCATATATTTATCATGCTTCTTTCTCGATATAATAATATAATAATCAAACGAGAAAGAAAGGCTATCTTCGGCACAACGAAGATCTAATACCCTTGCAGACCCAACCTTTGTGTGCTTTGCCCGTATCTAAGAAGCACAGGGAAAATAGTTAATGCCGAGTTTGGGCAAGATAGATATCTTCTGATATCTGATAAACAAAATGCTTTTTCATACAACAACTTAATTTTCGACCGATCGTTCCTATGGCAGCTATATAATATAGTGGTCCGATCCAGCTGGTTTTCACATATGAGCTGCGTGCAACAGAAAGAGGGACTTCTGCAAAGTTTCATTAAGATAGCTTTAAAACTGAGAGACTAGTTCGCATAGAAACAGACAGACGGACAGACGGACATGTCTATATCGACTCGGCTGTTGATGCTGATCAAGAATATATATGCTTTATGGGGTCGGAGATGTCTCCTTCTATGCGTGACACATTTCACGACAAAATTATAATACCCTCTGCAAGGGTACAAAAAACAGCCCAATTAGGAGATACCCTGAATCTTCTCCTACCAACACCAAATGCTATATAGATATGGATATTTATAGTTCAAGCATCCTTATATATTATATTATATATACATGTATAGATATATGATTATACCAGCCAAGACTTTTGCCAAAAAACAGGAGTTCGATATCGATTTTTTCGCTTGCTTGGAAATGGGACAAGTTATCGATTATCGGAGACAAATTCGTACTGCACGGGCAAAATTTCTCTACTTTCAAAATTTCTCTAGGCCTTATAGATTCTGAGATGGACGTATTTGTACATACGGGCGGACAGATGGACCTACAGGAGTATATATAATTAATCTAGTTGGAGGTTCGTCGATCTCCCTTGTTACACACATATGGGCTACATTTGGGGTAGAAAATCGAGAAACTAAGGATATCTTTGGCACGCCGAAGATTTAACAGTCTTGTAGACATTTGCAGATACATATGTGCAAAGAGTGAAGCTTGAAAATGGCGAGTATGACGAAAACATGATGGAAATATAGCTGTAGCTCTATATAGTTTTGATTTGGCTTATAGCTAAAAATAAATGCCTAGTTTGGGCAAGATATCCTGCTACACAATAAGCTACTTCGCGACCGATCTTTTCTATGCAATATATATAATATAGTTGTCCGAATTTGATTATATGTTGGATATATATATATATTTATATATTTATATTTGCCCATTTCTACCGAAAATATTCGAAACCAGATATTACTATTATTATTATTATTATTATTATTATTATTATTATTATTATTATTATTATTATTATTATTATTATTATTATTATTATTATTATTATTATTATTATTATTATTATTATTATTATTATTATTATTATTATTATTATTATTATTATTATTATTATTATTATTATTATTATTATTATTATTATTATTATTATTATTATTATTATTATTATTATTATTATTATTATTATTATTATTATTATTATTATTATTATTATTATTATTAGTATTATTATTATGCGATAAATTCAATGTTTGCGTCCAGAGCACCTGCTCAGTTCGTAGATATAAGGCAAATTTGCCTTGAAAGTACGTCAGCCAGCAAGCTTTTATTGCGTGTGTCACACACCGACACGGCACACGGATATGAGCCCAGGCTAAGTTTGGGGCGCGTAGAGCCAGAGCACACCAATACAGGCGCACATGTTAACCAAGACACACGCAAGCGACAAAGGAGAATATGCGATTAGCTGGGGCTGCTCAGGTTTTTCGATTAATTGCATAAATAATATCTAAGAATTGGTCGAAATATGAATATGAAACACTCTGTATATATATATCAAATATATAACATATATATCTTTATATTTTCTTCTTTTGTATAATATTTTGATTAAAGTACCTTGTATTTGGTTGGTGTAACTGAAAATGTGGCAAATAATAAATACAAGATTTTTGATTTTTATTTTATTTGGTTTATATTTAAAAATATTTGTATATATACATCGAATATACTTTGTTGTTCCATAAGTTAGCACAAAAAAAAAAAAAAAAAGAATAGAGAAAAATAATAATATTTGTGCCTACAATTCTAGATACTAGAAGTAGAAGCAGAGCAAAAAAAAAAGGGAATTTAACTATGTATATATGCGTATGATATTGCTAACAGTAAGATATTACTACAGCTAATAATAATAATAAAAAAAAAGTAACAGTAAACATAAGTAAATATAAATATCTTTGCGTGTGGTAACTAAAAACTAAGACAGGCTCAGCGAGAATCCGGCTGCGGCACTCACACGGATTTGATGAGACGATCCTGCCGCTCGAACATTTTCGTCTTGTTGGCCAATGTGTCCGCGGCGGTGGCAATGACACCGTTTGTGGTAACGGCCGCCGCAGCCGCCGCCGCCGCTGACTGCTGCAGCTGTTCCTGGGTGAGGGTGGTCAGGCATTCGCGGAACGCGAGCAGAAACTCATCGGCGTTCTCATGATTGAAGCACATGGGCGGCTTTAGCTTGATGACATTGTCGTTGGGCCCGTCGCTGGAGACGAGCACCTTGTGCAGCTGTTTCATCCGATTGACCACCCAGTGGGCGGCCTTGGTGTCGGGCGTGCGCGCCTCCCGATCGCTGACCAGCTCGATGCCCACAAACAGGCCGAGGCCGCGCACATCGCCAATGCACTCGAACTCCTGCTTCAGCTGGCTGCACTCCCGCAACAGATACTCGCCCAGCTGGTGGGCGTTCTGCTGCAGGCCCTCCTCGTCGATGATGCGCATCACCGCATTGGCAATGGCACAGGACACCGGATTGCCGCCGTACGTATTGAAATAGGCCACGCCCGTGTCATAGAAGGCCTGTGCTATTTCTGGGGTGGTCACCACAGCGCCCACCGGATGTCCATTGCCCATGGGCTTGGCCACGCTGACAATGTCCGGAACTACGCCCTGTGTCTCGAAGGCCCAGTAGTGGCTGCCCACGCGGCCGAAGCCCACCTGCACCTCATCGGCAATGCAAAGGCCGCCCGCGCGATGCACCGCATTGTATGCGGCCTGGAAGTAGCCGGCGGGCGGCAATATCTGGCCACCGCAGCTCTGCAGGCTCTCCGCAATGAAGGCGGCGATGCCCTGGCCCTTGGCCTGCTGGCGCTCGCAGATGTCCGCAATGGGCTGAGCATAGAGGGCGCCCAGATCCGCATTCGGGTGCAGCTTATCGGTGAACTGGCCACCATAGATGTCCGGGCATGGCGCCACATGCACATACTCGGGCTTCTGCTCGCCGCCAGGCTGATTGAACTTGTACGGCGAGATCTCCATCACGGACTGCAAGTGACCATGGTAGGCGCTGCAAGAGTTTGTTATGCAGATTAGACTAATGCCCAGCTCAGACTGGAGACCCATCCACTTACTGGTCCAGTGTGATCACGTCCAGGCGCTTGGTATAGTTGCGCGCCAGCCGCAGCGCCAAATCGTTCGCCTCCGACCCGGAGTTGACAAAGAAGCAGACCGACAACGGTGCCGGCATCTTGCTGGTCAGCGTCCGGGCGCACTGCACCAGCTCGTCGTGCAGAAACCGATTGTTCGTCGAGATGGTGGCCATCTGCAGGGCCCCGGCACGCACCACCTCCGGATGGCAGTGGCCAACTGCAAGTGAAAGTCAATATATGTTCAGGTATATTTAATATTTAATACCATTGATGACATGATAGTCGGAATGGATAAATGGGGCGACATGACTTGGCTTATAGAGCAGCAGAAATTTATGACAATCACGAATTTTTAAAAGACATACTAAAGATATTTTGAAATGTAGTCAACATAAGTCCTTATTATTCCGATATGTTCTTTATGTGTTATAAGCCTTATAGAGAGTGTGAAGCTCAAGCGATATTACATCTCCTAGGTATATTATGTATATACATATTACAAGTATAATTCCAATTCTGATCTTTTCCCATAATATGATGATTAACTGGTAGAGTCTGGATCTGGATCTGGATCTGGATCTTTTATCTCTCATTACAGTCCTATAAAATCATATATCAAAAAAGTAACCATTTCCTCTGGCTCTAAACTAAAGCTCAAGTTCCTCGAGCATCCAAATTCTGAGTGAAATACTCCAGAAGCGGCTCTGGAGTTTATTCGTTCCACACAATTTGCAGCTTAAGAATCAAATATTAATTGAAAACTAACTTAGTTATTCATCGAAGGGAGAAATCTGTTCTATAACTTAATATGCTCTCACCTTTGCCATACGCAATATTATATATATACATGTAAGTCTATTATTATTAAGTGTATTTTTATACCCTTGCCGAGAGTATTATAATTTTGTCATGAAATGTGTAACGCATAGAAGGAGATATCTCCGACCCCATAAAGTATATATATTCTTGATCAGCATCAACAGCCGAGTCGATATAACCATGTCCGTGCGTCCATCTGTCTGTTTCTATGCGTACTAGTCTCTCAGTTTTAAAGCTATCTTAATGAATGCAGAAGTCCCTCTTTCTGTTACACGCAGCTCATATGTGAAAACCAGCTGGATCGGACCACTATATCATATAGCTGCCATAGGAATAATCGGTCGAAAATTAAGTTTTTGTATGAAAAAGCATTTTGTTTTTCAAGATATCTTGCCCAAACTCGGCATTAACTATTTTCGACGTGCTTCTTAGATACGGGTAAAGCACACAAAGGTTGTGTCTGCAAGGGTATTAGATCTTCGGCGTGCCGAAGATAGCCTTTCTTTCTCGTTTTGAATATATTTTGAAGCCATCTCGACCTAAATACATTGATTTGCATGCACTTACATAAATCAGGCAGCATAAGCTATTAAATAAATATCATAGATTAGAATTTGCCTTCTAATCTTCCGGTTCACGTGTTGTTACCCAATCGAACTGGCTCACGCGTCCAGTTTCCAGGGGCTAGTTTATCAATCCCAGTTGGGCAATCAAAATAGATTTCGTCATGGCCAAATGTCTGGCCGAGGCACGTTTTATCAGCGGCACTGGAGGAAACGTGCACCCAGTTGGGCATCGCGTGCGCTTCACGTGATTCTCGAGGCGAGCTGACGAACTGACCCCCAAAATTGTGGCATATTATTTGGCTAGCTCGGCGAAGGAGGGAGCTGCTATTGGGTAGGGCAGGGGGCTAATCATCGAACGCGTAATCAGTCGACGACTATGTAGAGACCCGCGATCCGGCCCGTTTATCGCCCGCGTCCGCTGCCGGGGCCTGAGCAGCCTGGACCCGGGCCTGTCTATGCAGTGCCAAGTCGAAGATGCGCAAACGCTTTGATAAGCGAAACGCTTCTCACTCCGCACAGATCTGACGGACGAGCTGCCAGCTCGCACAGTGGCATCACGTGAATTGGATGCTTATTTTTAGGCGTGCTCAAGCGAATAGTTAGCGGCCGCTTGTGATTGCGCCGTGTGGGCGACACGGCACTGTCCAACAAAATTCGGCCTATTTGCTTTATGGAGTGTGAAATTGTGGCGGTAACATTTGATCAGAGGGGAAAGCCGTTGAAGCTTTCAAAATGTATCTCAAATTATACAGCTCAAGCAAAATTACAAATATATTTGTAATAATTTACTAATATTTTTCATAACAATTAGTATAAAAAAAAAATTAATTAAATATGTTAAAGAACACCTAGCATATATTTTGAATATATTGAATGAAAGTATATAGTCCAGATCAAAAATTATTTGGTTAAATATTGTTTTGCAAAAGATTTCCAAATATGTTTATAAAAGAATTGCTAACTTTTTTTTTTTTTTTGTATTAAATTAGTTTATGTCAATCTCTAACAACCTTTTTCTTGAATATATTAATATTTATATATATTCTATATTATATATTTTGTCAATTTCTACCTTTTATAAAATAGAAAATCAAAGAAAAATAAAAAAAAATTTAATAAAAAGTATTGAGAGTCTATTTTTTTCTTTATCAAATTGTCAGTCTAGATTTTGTCAATCTTTGAGCTCGAAAGTAACATAATAATTCAATTATTTTAAAGAACTAAATATTTATGCTGTGCGCAGCTCTAAGCCCTTTAAGGTGAACAGTTTTAAGTTTTTGTAGGCATGTGTAAGAATTAGTCAAGTGCTGATTGTTGATTTTTCGCAATATTTATGTAGTTCATTTTTTGTTTTGTTTTATTCATAATATTTCTTTTTTCAAAGTGCGCATTTGACCGCATTTTTTGCAGAGGCACACGCACATATATGTATTGGTGTGTGCATGTGTGTCAAAAGTGTTTTTCACATTATCTTGCACAGAATTTTCCACTCGCAATGGACGCCCCGCTGATTGCTCAGTTTGTAAGGCTTGAACAAATATTGAATGTAGACTATGGGCACACATCAGCCAGAGGGGCAAACGGACAGAGGGACAGAGGGACGGACAGTCGGTTAGCTAGCCGGACAATCGGCCAAAGTGCGTAGTAGTTGCTCTTGTTCTTGTTCTTGTTCTTATTCTTACTCTTATTCTGATTGTTGTTGTTGTTGTTGCTGTTGTTATCTCGCGTAGATTTCCACTCGGCACGAGACGTTCACATGTTGCCTGAACGCCCAGTTTCAGGGCAAGCTCTCAGCTGTTAGTTTCCATAGCTGATAAGCGGCAACTACGAGTAGTCATAGTCGCAGTCGCAGTCGCCGTCGCAGTCGCCGTCGCTGTCGCAGTCGCTGTCGATAGGAAAGTAGCACGAGATCATAGAATAACGTGGCGATTGGAACGCGTGAGGCGCGACGATTGAGATCAAAAGTTTTGTAATAAACAACAACAAATTGTTGTTGTTATTGTTGTTGTTCTTGTTGTCAGCAATGAGAACACGTGCACACCAACCAGGCTTATCACGTTTTATAGAATATTTTTCTTAATGTTTTTTTTCCCCCCCTTTCTGTTGATTCTCTGTATTGAATGGTGACTTCATTGGACTCTTGTTATGCTGTGAGGTGGGGGTCTATCGTGGCGCTGGGCAAGACGAATATGGAATCGAAATCACGTTAACAGCTTGTGCACAGAAATAGCCTCGATATTTGCCCTGGCACTTTGATTGAACGATTCAATGCTGATAATAAAACAGGCTTATTATTAAAACTGTTTTGCCTCATGATTATAGTCCAATAGCTCAAGTTGCAGCAAATCGCATAAGTGTTTTATTCTATATATTCGCCACGAAATTGCTCTGCTATTTAAAGACCTTAATTCTTTTTTATAGAACTATTTATAAACAAGCTGTGGCATGATTTAAGCTCGTATTATTGCTGATTGAACTTTTGATAGTGAGGACAGGGACACAAACACTTAACAGTAATAATGTTGTTTCGAGTCCGACTCGAGTTCGAATTCCAGGCAAATGCGAGAATTCGAGCTCGAGTTCCAGGCAAACGTATAAGGCAGCGATATTTTTAAATGTATAGCTTATAACTCATCCTGTTTGGTTAATAATGTTTGATATTTGTTTGAGCTTCTGAGCCGCATCGGCTATAATTTTGGTTCAACCGAAATAGTTGCTATAAATAATTAACAGCCTCTGGACAGTGGGCCTTATCGGCCAACGTTGGGAACAACGAACCACAATGGCACAATGATTGTGCATAGAAACTACATAGTATATGTACATATATGTAGGTAGGTAGTTAAGCGTATTTCAGGCCCATTTTTGCAGCTTATCAGCAATATTATAATTTGTTTGCACCCAGGCTCAGCATATGCAAATGATAATTTTGTAGGCCCCCCTGGGGTTTGTTATTGTTTAAATGAAATTGAAAAAAATATATATAATAATTTAATGGAAATGAATATGAAAACTGCGCACAACTGTTAAACTGCGACTGTGAAGAGATCAGCATAACAGCGCACTGTTGTCAGCTAACAGCAAGCCTGGAGCTTACATAACAGCAACAGCAGACGCTGCTAAGCACTGTTAACGTGCATTTTGAATGGAAAATTCCGTAAAAAAAAAGGGATAACAATGTGTGAAGATGCACATGCTGCTGGTGTCACTTGGACACAATTTCAGTTTCTCAATACGCAAATTGGCAAATTGCGCACACGTCAATCTTAGTTGATTGTTGTTGATATTACAACCCCCCCCCCCCCCCCCCCCCCCCCCCTCCCCGCCCACCCCACAATCACTTGAGTAACTTAATCAGCCCAGGCAACAGCTGCTGTTGTGCGCCGTGCGCTGCGTGCCGGGGCCCGAAATCAACGGGCAGCATCTAAAAACACAGACGTACGAATAGGCCGGCCCCGGCCCAGCGCCAGCCCCAAGCAACGTGTGTGTGATAAGGCTGAGTCAGTTTTTGCGCCAGCTACTCGAATCAAATCACACAAAGCTGCTCAATCGGGGCCTGAACATGCCGCCGATGTCTGGCCAGCCGGCTGAGCCGGTCTGCTCTGGGCCAGGCCGTTCTGTGTGCCGGGTACGTGCACAACCTTGAACTTGCCAAAGTCCCCTAGCATGCACTGCCCCACCGGGGGCATCACTGTGTCCTATACGCCGTACTCTTACACGTGTCTTTCGTTTTTTATCACAATGCACCCCGACGTATCAGCATAAAGAAATTATGACGGACGATTGTTGTGTGTGGACGTGGAGCCGGGCCTGTCGCTGACGAGCCCATTTCATCGGGCCCCGGTCCCGACTCCGTCGCCATTAATTGACCCACAAAAAAAATTGTATAATAAATGCATATATGTTTTTCAAAAATGGATGCGAGCTACATGCGTATACATTTCGCCGCACAGTTATGAGTTCTAGATAGATAGTTAGATATTTAGATAGATGGATTGAAAGATTGTATGTTAGATAGATTCAAAGGTTTATCACTTACCATGTGCCACATTATTGATGCAGTCCAGATAGCGTGTGCCCTCCTCATCAAACATATACTGACCCTGTCCGCGGACTATTTTCAATGGATCGGAGCGATAGAAGAGTTGACAGGCTTGTCTGTATTATGCGATATTTGCGAGTTTTTTACATTTTTGGTGCGGGTTTTGTTTTTTGTTTTTTGTTTTTGTCAAGTGCATTGAAAAGAGAAGTGAAAGGAGAACAAATTTGTTGTTGTGTCTGTTTCTTGTTTTGCTTATACAAATTATAATTAACTTAAATTTAAACATTTATATAATGAGGCGCTAATTGGAAATATCAGGAATAAACAACGAACGATTATCTCTATGGCATTCGATTGCAACAAACTTGTTCGATGTGACGTCTTTGTTTCTACGGTCTCTCGGCGGGGCCTATGTCATCAACTACACAATACCGTCAGAGGGCGTGGTGAGCCCCCAGATACGGATACTGATATGGGTGGGGCAGGAGTGACGCCTCGTAATGGATGTTAGCTAAAGTATCTAGCCTAGGATTATTAACATTTTTTATGGGCGTAATTATTGTTGTATTTGCTCTAGTTGGCGCCGCAGCGTGTTTGTTTGAGCTTGCAGTCAATAAACGTTTGCGATATAATTCTCAACTAGTTTATGTAAACGCGTTGTTAGAACTGGAAATTGTTTCAGGCGCAAATACAATTATCAGGTATTGTTCAATAATTGTGCATATATACTTTTATATTTAAAAGTGGCTTTGTTATTGCTGCCGGGCGGGAAATCGATAAAGACCAAAAATAAATGCGGCTACTTTCGGCCCATTCAGTGGGGCGCGAATGTTTGGCAATAGCCAAAAGTTTTGTTAGCATTTGTCATGGGATGACAAAAACGGCGGCAGAGCAGAGCAGAGCACTGCACTGTTACAGCCCCCGGCACGACCCCCTCCCCCAGGCAATCTGGCATGTGGCACTAACAGAGAGCAACAAAGAGCACGACAAGAACGACTACGATGACTGTGCCGTGTGGGGATGCCGCTTGTTGACCTTGACAGCGAAATCGCTTGACAGAAGGTCACCTAACATGCGCATAACATATGTATGTAAGTGCGAGCATCGCATAACATAACGTAAACATAAACATAACATGTTTCAATACGTAATTAACATGCATTGCAAATCTATGCACTCACTCACTCACACACACACACACACATACACACATGTTTATGTAAACAATTGTAGTATATTTTATGAAATAGTTAAGGAAATTAATTTGTTTATACTAACCCAATGTGTTTGTTACGCAGCTTGATGGTGTCCGATTTTGACAGCTGCTGGCTGGCCACGGATTGCATTTGTTTACTTGCGAAAGGCATTTTTTAATGAATTTTTTGTTTAGTTTGAATTGAATTTAATAAAAATTTAAATATTTTGACTTTTAAAGTTTTAAGCGCGCGCACTTTTTAAGTTCCAACTGTTCCGGCAAGGAATACTCGTCAACTGAATTGAAGGCTTTGAGTCTGACTGGTAAACAGGCAGGCTGATAGGCAGGCAGGCAGGCAGGCACGGGACGCCTTTAACGTCTTTGGGTGCTTAGAAATTGTCGCCGAATGACAAATTCTATGTGAGAGTAGAGCTATTTTATAACAGTGGCCGTCGCGACGGCGGCCAGCAGCGGCCACGACCAGCCCACTCTGGCCATATATACAAATGTATTTACATATATTTCTATACATATATATATGTATGTATATGTATAAAAATATGTACATGCATGCATATGTAGTTGCTGCCGCTGCTGTTGCTGTTTGATACTGTTGCTGCTACAACAGACGCTGTTATTGGCTGACGCGCTGTTACTGTTAAGCGTCTCAGCTGGCCATGTGTATGTGTGTGTGTGCATGTAAGTGTATCGGCAACACACACGTGACTATCAACACTGTTATTGTCGCTCTCTTTCTTTGCCGCTGCAAGTGTGTGCGTCTGTGTGATAACAGCAGCCAGCCTGAGCGTAGCGCAACGTGTGTAAGCAACAGCAACAATAACAAGTATTACAGCAACAACAGCTGAGCCGAGTATCAGCCAACCAGCAACGGCGCTGCGTGTTATTAGAGATGCGCACGTGCGTGATTCGAATGGGAACGAAAAAACAAACAAAATAACTTAGAGCGTTTTTTACATACATATATGTGCATATATTATTATTGCGTGCGTGTGCGTGACACGTGCTCACATCGAGCTGTTATTGCTATTAGGTTTGTTTAAATCCTTCTTAAATATAACGTTGCATCAGTCGGCAGTCAATAACATGTTATTAATCTATTTATTGCTGATAAACGATTATATATTTATAGCTTCAACTTAATTATAAAAATGATAGAAATTAGTCCAACGACATTGACATTCATTCACAGAGAATCCACAGCTGAAGCTTTCAAAGATAACAAATTTAAATTTGGATATATTATTTATAAACTGACATGTTAGCGCACCTAGAATGCACTTAAAAAAAAAAACACTGAAATAGTTAAAAATAAAACAATAATACAAATCCTAAAGGCATTTTGTACAAATTATTCTTGCTCCTCTAAATATACCAAGCTAGCAGCTGTTGAGCTGATAACGTCTGACCGTTACATGATTTTAAAATTTTAACAGTAGCTTTTACAGTTTTGGTTCCACTGTAACATAACAGCAGGCACAGCTAACAGTGGTCACAGTTGTGAAGCCACTGCAAGCAGCCAATGCACAAATAGCAAGTGCAATTTAAAATGCTTTTATAGGATTGTGCAAATATTATGATCGGATTTTAAAGTGTATAATAAATTATTTAATTTCTGTTTTGATACCAAGTATTTATTACAGCGACAATTCCATATAAATGTTTTTTTTTTGCGCCACCCTAAACGTATGCTATACATTTAACTATAACATGAAAATGCACCCTAATGCACAATGCAAAAATATAAATATTACAAATAGAAATACATAACACGCTCACAAATTTACAAATTGATTAGTTAACATTGCTATTATTGGATCAATTCTGATCACCTATGGTACAAGCCGTGCATGCACATCATCGCTTGCGTAATCTCCCCCGTAGTGTCCGGCTGAGGCGGCATCATCGCCAGGGCCTGATACCAGGACGTTCGGCATTCCACAACCTCCCCGTCCATTGACCAGCGACTGTATTTCGCTTGACTGCTGTTGGATAGAAAATGTTGAAGAAATTTTAGCAGATCAATATTAAAACATAAATATGCATTAGAGAAGGATTGCTTTGGATTATAGGGTGGAAGATGTATCCAGGGTTACAGGGGTATACTGATAGTTGTCCACTTACTCGTGTGTTTTCGAGCGGAACTTCTGTAACCAGTTCGCTGTTCGATGTTTGCCTTTGTTGTAGTAATCTCTGCAGGATTTTGGGTACGCCAAACTGAAGCGTTTCGCGTCCGGCCGTAAAAGAGGCGGCTGTGGTTCCCGTGCTGCTGTTGGTGCTTGTGCTTGTGCTACTGCAGCCACCGCCGCCTTCGCCTGCCATGTCCACTTCGTTGCCGATCTCCTGGATTGATTTGCCGGCCAGCGTTGCCAGAGGATTCTGGAAATGCAGGTTAATATTGAGATCGCGATGACCGCGCTGCCGCCACTGATAGAACATGTACCCAATGCCGGTGCCAACAACTCCTATCAGTAGCAGTATGGCCAGCAGCCAGACGACTCCGCTGCCGCTGCCGTCGCCATCGCCACTGCTATCCGAACGCTGCTCGCTGGACAGCAGCGAGTTCATGTCGAGCTCATTGGTGCTGCCGTGTGGACACTGCTGCGTCTCGGCCACAACGGCATCGCCGCACATGCACTCATAGCCATAGTCGCCCAGCACGCACATGCCGGAGCAGTGGGCATGCTTGCAGGGATTCTTTGTTGCCGCCGGCTGACGTGACCAACCGGCAACAATAATATCCTGGGCGTTCAGCACATTCAGATTGATGGCCTTGCAAGTGCGCTGGCCATACAGCTGACAGCTCACCGCCTCCTTGGCGCCCATATTGACAATGTGCGCTTGATTCTCATAGATGCTCAGTCCAGTCGGCTGGAGCAGCGCATTGCTCTTCTGGAGCAAAACATGCGCCTCCCGCTGTTTGCCACTGCCGCGTCCCTTGTAGCTGATCATCTCCAAAGTGTGACTATGCAGATCCACAAAGTAGAGCAGCTGCTGATGGGGATCGGTTGCAATTGCTGTCACATAGCTGCGCTGCTTCCGCAACAACAGCTCCCGTCGGCTGCCATCGAGTCGCGCCATATGAAGCTGTGTGATCGGCTGGCCAAAGCTTTCGCTGCGTATTGCCACATAGAAGAGACGCGCCTTGTGCGCGTCCACGGCTAGCGCCTTCAGACTGAACCTTGACAACATTTGCAGTATGCTGCCGCACATCTTGGCCTCAAAATTGCAGACGCTTATCTGCTGCGGCGTCCTGCCGCTGATCACATAGACATTGCCCGTCGTCCATTCCACGGCCATTTTGCTGGGCGAGCGCAGAGCGAGTGCAGCCATTTGGCTGCGATCCCGCAAGTTCACTCGGTAAATGATGTTCTGCTCCTCGCTGCTAAAGTAGCCCAGCTGACGGCGCATGTCCACATCGAAGCCGCTGATGGCCGTATCATTCGCTGACCAGGCCACCGAGAGCGTCACCGGATGTGCGCTGAGATTGCGCACCTCGTTGTAGCTGGTGAAGAGCAGCGGGGCACCGGACTGTATGCTCTTGCAGCTGCTTCTATCTTGGCTCAGCATAAAGTCCGCATGACACTGACACTGATAGCTGCCCGGCGTATTCTCGCAGAGCTGGGCGCACGGCTGCTGCTCGGCGGAGACGGCGCACTCATCAATGTCCACGCAGCTGCGCTGATCGCTGGCCAATCGATAGCCCTCCAGGCATGTGCAGACAGCGCCCGCCGGCGTTGCCTGGCACCTGTGCTGGCACAGAGACTTGCTGCAGGCGCTGGCGCACTGCGGTCCCTCATCGTTACCATTGGTGCAATCGTCAAAGCCATTGCACACGTGCGACATGTCCACGCATTCGCCATCGTGACAGTCGAACAGATGGGACTTACAGGCGCGCCTTGCACTCACACTTTCGCCAGCCAGATGAGTGCCAGTCTCGTTACCATTGGCGTACTGTTCACAGTGCTCCTCGTCGCTGCCGTCGGCGCAGTCGCGTTCCTTGTCGCAGCGGAATTCCTGGCGTATGCACTGTTTGCTGTCGCGGCACTGGAACTCGTAGATGCTGCATAGCTCGCCGCAGTCGGCCTCGTCCTCGCCGCGCGGACACTCGGCGCTGCCATTGCAGCGCACTGCCATGTCCAGGCAGAGCTGCATATTGCTGGCGCATTGATACATGGGCGTGGTCAGGGTGCCGCAGCTTATGTTGACTGCAGCACCAGCAGCAGCAGCGCCGTTGCGCTGCTCACAGTTGAGCTCATCGGACAGATCGCCGCAATCGTTGTGGCCATCACAGACGAGCTGCGCATCGAGGCACTGGCCCAACAGACAGCGATGCATCTGCGCCGGACACTGGCGCTGGCCGCACTTGTCGTGCTCATCGGAGGCATCGCTGCAGTCGATGCGTCCGTCGCACTCCCAGCTGCTGGCAATGCACGAGCCGCTGCTGCACTGGAACATCCCATGATCACAGCTGGCGGCCTCTTTGCAGCGCAGCTCATCCGTGTTGTCGCCACAATCGTTTTTGCCATCGCACACTAGGCTGTAATCCACGCACTTGCCATTGTCGCAAGCAAGCTGGTGGGCGTGGCAGAGCTTGGTTTTATCTAGGGGCGAAATGGAAATGCATGATTGACAGACTGATTGAGTGTTGGACATATGATATGAATGATACGACTTTCGGATAGTTAGATAGATTGTCGACAGATTCAGTGATTGCGTTACTGATTGACTGTCTATTTGACAGATCGATTGAGTGATTGACAGACTGAAAGTTTAATTGGAGCAAAGTAACGTACCGAATTGGGCGCAGTGCAGCTCGTCCGAGTTATCATCGCAGTCCTTGTGTTCATCGCATCGCTTGCTCTTATCCAGGCACCGTTCGCCGTCATGGCAGGTGAATTGGGTGAGTCCGCATTTGACCTTGACGCGCTTGATGTTGTCGCAGTCCGACTCGTCGGAGCTGTCGGCGCAATCCTGATGACCATTACAGCGATGTGCCATGGTCAGGCACTCGCCGGAGGAACGGCAACGGAACTCACAGTCCAGGGCCTCAGTGCAGCTGCGATTGAAGGCATCGCGATACACGAAGCCGGCGGGGCAGAGGCACGCTCTGTCAAATTGTCCTGCACTGACGCACACATGCGAACAGCCTCCGTTGGCTTGCTGGCAGGGATGCGGCGTTAAACTGGCAACCACTCGCCCGCTGGCCGTCAGCGGTATGCGAACGGGCAGCGTGAGGCGCATATAGGAGGCGGCTGCGGCTGCAGCGTCACCATCGAGACCTAGATGCGGATTCGTTTCGATCTCGATGCGTTTGTTGGGGCCCATATTGCTCTTGTGCGTCCAGTAGATGGCCGGTGTGCCGAGCTCGCTCCAGAACAGATCCTGATTGACCAAAGCCAGAGCGTATGGTCGCCGGAACTTGCCGCGAAACATTTGCGCATGCGTCTGGCGATAGTTGCTGAAGCTGAGGCGACTCGTATCGCTGTCCGACCAGTACATGGTGTGCGTCTCATAATCGACAGCGAACTTGATATCATCATCGCCCAGATCCTCCTCAAAGACATGGGTCTGGGCGCCGCGTCCGCTCAATGCCACGCGATCGATGTGCGTGTGCCGGCGCGCCTTGAGCGCCACAAACATATAACCCTCGGCTGGCATCACGCTTAGACCGATGGGCAGCTCATCTCCGGCAAAAAAGCGCACCAGTGCACGATGTCCGGTGCGCAGCGACAGCAGCTCAATAACATGACGCTCCATGTCTGCCCAGTAGAGATTGTGAGCCAAATGATCAAATGCCAGGCTGCTGATATTGCCCAAATTGCGGGAGACTAACATGGTTAGGCGCTGCTCGCTCGGATGGGGCGCGTACTCGAAGATCGCCCGCTGCATATTGTCCGCAATGAGGACGGTGCTATTGATGCTATTGTAGGCCAGTTCGCTGATGCGGCAGGGCAGGGTGTGCGACGCGCTGACTACGTGACGGCCGAACGAAGTGTGCTCGATCTCGAGCAGCACCTGGCGCAGTCCAATAAACAGACGCTGCTTCTTCTCGGTTTGGCTGCAGCGATGTCCATCCGGTGACAGGGTCATTCCCTCCGGGCAGGCGCATGAATAGCCACCAGCATCCGGTTCAGCGAGCAGACATAGATGCGAACAGCGCGCCGTTTCACAGGGATGCGGCACCTGCGGTTGCTTGGCCGGATGATAAACGTGGACAGCATAAATGATGCGATCGCGTGCCAAGATGCGATGCTGTTTCCCGGAGAACTTATCGCAGGCATGGATGCTTTTTGTGCCCCAATCTGACCAGTACAGCTGATCCTCGAATACGGCCAGTCCGTACGGATGCTTTAACATGCCGTCGAGCACGGTGCGCCGTGCACTGCCATCTGGACGCACAGTCTGAACACTGCCCAGCTTGGCGTCCACCCAGTAGATGCGCTCCTGATGCATGTCCAATGCAATGCCATTTGGCCAGTGTATATTGTCGGCAACAATCGGCTGGGATCTAGTGCCATCCATGGAAGCGCGCGCTATCATTGGCTTATTGCCCCAGTCGGTCCAGAACATTTGGCCACGCTGTGGCCATAGCGCCAGGCTGCGCGGCTGATGCACATCTTGGGTAACCAGCACCACACAGTTGAGCCCATCGTTCGAGCAGACCGCAATGTGTCGCATTATGTTGTCCGAAAAGTAAATGTTGTGCGTCAGCCAATCGACGGCCAAATCCTCGGGCGCATCCAGACCAGATGTGAGCAATATTTCCGCCATGGAGCCATCGGCACGTGCACGCACAATGCTCTCCGCCTCGTTCTGTATGTTGGTCCAGTAGATGTGATCGCCATCAAAGGCCACTCCAATCACCTTGCTCAGATTGGTGGCCACGCTGAAGACATGATTGCGCTGATGCGTTTGCTGTGTCAGATGCATGCCCATGACAGTCACCTGTGTGGTGTAAAGCAGCAGCGCGGACTGTTTCCCTGAGCCAATATCCAGGGCATGACAGGTACGATTGTTGCTGGCATCCAGTTCGTAGCCCGCATCGCAGGCACAACGATATCCGCCGGATGTATTCTCGCAGCGCTGACTGCACAAGTCATCCCGCTCCTGACACTCGTTAATATCCTCGCATTTATCCTTAAACTTTAACAGCCGAAAGCCGTCTGGGCAAAAGCATTCAGCCCCGCTGGCGGGCATCATGTGGCAACTGGCACTAGGCGGGCATTGCTTTGTGCTGCAATCGGGCTTAGCACGGCAGCTCTCGCTCTCATCGCTGCCATCCGAGCAATTGGGCTGGCCATCGCACACCTGGCTGAGCGGCAGGCAGCTGCCATGATTGCGGCACATGAACTTTCCCATAGACGGCTGACAAAGATTCTCTGGAAAGCAAAATTTTGAATGCAAGGGATTAATGCTGGGTTCATGCTGTACTTAAACAAATCCTTGATCTGTTTAGCAAGACTCACCGCAGTCACTCTCATCGCTGCCATCTCCGCAGTCATCGACGCCATCGCAGAGCCATTGCTTGCGGTGCAGGCAACGGCCGTTGCTGCAGAGATGACCACTGGTGCAGCTGGTGGCCGCCTGTTTGCAGCCAGCTGTCTCATCGGAGTTATCGGCACAGTCCGATTTGCCGTCGCACATGAAGTCAAGCGGTATGCAGCTGTGATCCTGGCACATGTACTCATATTGGCTGCAATTGCGCCGGCCGAAGTTGAATACCAGGCGACGCGGACACTGAAGCTCATCTTCGCCGCCTGGACAGTTGTCGACGCCGTTGCATATTAGTTCCGCTGCCAGGCAGGCACCGTGTGGCTGGGCACACGGGAACCAATGCGGCTGCCGGCACATCTTGTAGTCTGCAGTCCAAAGATATAATGTACATTAGTTTGAGGTTAGGTTTGTTTAGGTGAGGTTAGGTTCGATTTTAGAATTTCTTCACTTGCCGCATTCCAATTCATCCGTGTTGTCTGTGCAATCGCTTCGTCCGTCGCACATCTTCGCCTGTAAGATGCAGACTCCGTTTCTGCACTGGAATTGATCTGCATCGCACCTCGCGTGCGCTGATCCCGTCGCGGCGGCAGAAGCCTCACCGCAAACGAGCAGCAGCACTGCAGGGCACAGGCACAAAAGCCACCAGGACCGCCGGCTGACGTTTTTACCACTCCACTGCCGGCCACGCACATGGCACTGTGTTCGCACATGATTATCCCGCAAGATTGCGGCCCTATACAAAAAAATCCACGTGTGCATTTGAGGTTATGTCACGCAACAAATTTAACTCCAGCGATATTTGCCACTTACATTTGATACTTGCTTTTAGTGCAGCAGTTTGTGGTTTTATTCACTGCGTTCTTTTTCATAAATTAAACATTTAACAAAACACAAAAGTAAACGTTCAACATCAATGATTAACAAAATGCAACGAGCATGCGCAAATTCAACGCAAACGTTGAAATGCAAAAAGCGAACTGAATGATGTTCAATTGCAATGAACTGCAATTGATCAGCTTCCAGTTTCGAAATTCGGCCAAGTGCCGTTACATTTAGTGTGGCCAGTTATTATAACTGTTGAAATACTCTAAAAAGACATGTAAGCGTTAGATTTACGAATTGTGCCAATTTCAATCCTCACATTATTGCATATTATGATTTACTTGTATGTTTCACAAACCAATTACATACATGCACACATACATACATACATACATACATTTATATATATATTACGCTTATATACTTACTTATGTATTAAAATATATCTTATTTTGTAAGGCCTGCTTAATCAACATGCATCTACAGCAGTTTTTTCACATGCTTCTGAAACATCGCCGTGGCCTCTTCCTGCGGCAGCTCCATAATGCGGTCCAGCAGCTGCCAGGTTATTAGCTGCTCAATTAAATTTTCCTTGCACACATGTGCAGGAATACTGAGATCGAAGCTGCGGCACTGCCAATGGGGCCTCAGAGGAGGAATGCAAATGCGATACACTATATTGACATGGTCATCCAAAGTGTGGGGATCCACAGACTGCGCATCTGGCTTTGCTCTACTGGCTGCCTTTGCTCTCGGTTTTACGGTAGGCCGTCGCGGCTTTGGCTTGGGAACCGGTAATGGGCAGGGATTCGATTCCGGCATATGCTTGCTGGGCATGTAGTGTTGCATCCATTGTGTCTCCAGTTGGGAGAGCGCAATTTTCTCAGGGTGGCTTAGTTCAATCATGGAGTTTTTGCGAAGACTCTCCAAAGTATCCGTAATTACATGGGTAAAAAAGTTGCGGGAATCAGCAATCCAGCTGGGCTTGATATCAACTTTATTGTTTTCACGGCGCGGCATTTTGCAGCGTTGCGAAACGGTGTGCTTATTGATTTGCTACATTTTTTTTCTTCCTTCTATTTACATATTGGTTTTCCTGCGAAAAACGCAGACAATAAGCGTGGGCAGTGTGTCCACACGCTCAATAATAAATGGCAGCCTCATGTGTAAGTGGCAACTCCATAACGAAGATGTTGCCAATAAGCGATCGGAAATTTCAAATGATTGGATAACGGATTTAGAAATGCGAAATTAATGATATTGAGGATGTAACTTTTGTATTCTTGTTATAGAATGACATAGCATTTGATTTAATGATATTCTGATATAAATATAAATAGTAATAATATGAAATTAATGATCTCACATCGAAGCTGTTTTGATATCAAGTAACGTGGTCATTTTTGGGCCAGACAAAGAATTATTGCAATCGGATCCCGGGCTAAAACCTGAGATACAGCAAATGGACTGCAATCTGTGATGTAGCAACAATTAATAACTTTAAGATTTATGAGCAGCGAGTCATATAAGACAACAGCGTTAGACCGGCGACCGCGAAATGTCATAAAACAACAAACACGAACAACAACAAGGGCACTTAACACAAAACAATAACCAGAGTTAGATTTAAAAAATATAAATTGTATAATTAAAGAAAAAGAGCGCGCGACGATGTTACCCTTAAAGCCAGCCAAGCGACGTTTCGCATCTCAACAACACGGAAGGAGAGGTGGAGTACGTGAGGCAAGGCGTGGCAGGGTCATAAAAACAATAACAAAACCGAAAAAAATAAGAGAGCTGACACCGGCACACCGAAGTGTAAATACCCTGGCAGTTATGCACTCTATTTCAATATTTAGAACTGTTCTTATGCAGAACACTTTACTTCCGTACGACTGTTGCTATAAAAACTAGAAGAAATAGTAACTTTGATTAGATTTTGAGAAACTGAAAACAATCTGATGTAAATACTCATTTCTTTTATGTAATATAGTGTACCAATGTTGGATTGTAGTAAAGCAAATTAGAAGGTTTTATTCATCCCATATATGATATATTCATGATGAAACTCGCATAAACAAAAACAATTAAATGCTTGATGATACTGATCAAGGGGTAGCAGAGTCTCTTACTGTGCGACAAAAGTGGAATACCTTCCGCAAGGGTATAAAAAGCACCACAAAAGCTACCAAAGCCCAAAACGTGGGCTTTCCAAGACCAACCAAAATTGGGCGTTCGCCGTCGATGAGTCGTGGGATCGTGGGATCCGCTAAAACAGCTAAACATGTCGCCGTATATTTCTAAACGGTTCAGTTTCAGTTTCAGTCTGGGTTTCGGCTTCAGTCATTGTTGGCTTGAGTAATGAGCATTGTCCGTCGACATGTTAGCAGTGCGGTAAAGGCGATAAAATTAGTTGTAAAATCTGTCCGCACGATATATTTAATTTAATAACAGTTCAAGCTTGTTTGCAAGCGTATAAAACGCGCACTCGATGCCAAGATGAGCAACAGTCATTCGGCAGCATTGTCCCAGTGCATAACTCTTCTAGGAACTATATTTGTCTAACTACGTAGGACTTTGAGACCTCAAATCCTTAAAATGGCAAGTACTTATGAAAATCTGTGAAAATATGACCAGCGGCACTGCAAAAGCGGGTTTCTATATATATGAAAGTGTGACTATTTTTTTTAACGTTACAAAGTATTTGTGTTAAATATTCGAAAGTGTGAAAACTAAATTCTACTATTTATGAAATAAAACACCATGTGATATATGTTGTTGTCAACAAGTTTTGAAGTACAATTAAAAATATATAAAATCACGCTAAAGTACTCAAATTAAGCATATATATAGTATATAGTATATAGTATATAGTATATAGTATATAGTATATAGTATATAGTATATAGTATATAGTATATAGTATATAGTATATAGTATATAGTATATAGTATATAGTATATAGTATATAGTATATAGTATATAGTATATAGTATATAGTATATAGTATATAGTATATAGTATATAGTATATAGTATATAGTATATAGTATATAGTATATAGTATATAGTATATAGTATATAGTATATAGTATATAGTATATAGTATATAGTATATAGTATATAGTATATAGTATATAGTATATAGTATATAGTATATAGTATATAGTATATAGTATATAGTATATAGTATATAGTATATAGTATATAGTATATAGTATATAGTATATAGTATATAGTATATAGTATATAGTATATAGTATATTGCATATAGTAGCCTTTCATAACTTTCTTGTCTGCCTGCCTTTTGCACAGCCCTCCATTACGGCCATTGTTCTGATTGCTTCCCTGGCATTGTGCGCCGCTGATGTCTCCCATTTGTCCCTCTCGCGCAACTATTTGCCCCCGCTGAGCGGCGCTAGCGGCTACTCGACGTACTCCTCGTATCCCACGTATCCTACGTATCCCTCGTATACGGGCAGCGCCTATTCCAGCGGCGGCTACTACTCGGGCTCCGGCCTCGGCTCCAGCTACGGTGCCCCGGCGGTCACCTCCGGCTATAACAGCTATGCCACGGTGCCGCAGTACAACAGCTATGCCACGCCCTCGCGCGCCTATCTGCCAGCACTGACCAGCTACGCCGGCACGGGCTACAGCGGCCTGGACACCAAATATGCCTCCAACGGGGGTTACATCTATTAGGAGGACCAGTTGGCATGTGCCTGGGACAATATCCACTAAAACAAGTGCTCACAAAATATACAATACTTTTTTTAATATCTACAGGATTTGAGCTGTTTTTTTTTTTTTTTTTGTATAAATAATAAAGTTTCTTGAACAATAGTAATGAGTTTTTATAAGCAGGCTCTTTTGTGAATTATGTACTATAGAATCGATTTCTTATCGATCTGTAAACAATTTAAAGCTATCGAATCCAATCTCTTCAATCTCCTTGCGTGGATCTCCTCTTGCGTGGATTTCTTCTTATAATAGCTATTATTGTGATAAATTATGGTTGTCAGAGGATACTGCCCAGGATACTTTCCGCTTCTACTCCACACTCCTAAAATTGAGAAGGAGGAAGCTTCTTATAGGCCACACACCCGGCTGCAACCCAGAAAAGAGATGTCGATGGTTCAGTTCACGGTGCGAGCCAGCGCTCTCCTTCCAGGTTTTGCTCGTGAACCGGGCTTACACATGCATACTTGAGTCTAGATACTTGTAAAAGTCTGGGTTTTCCGTGTATTCTCAAACTTTAATGAAACAATTTAATTTGCAATTACCCGTTCTATTAACAATATTGAAAACATTAGATATTCTCATATAGAAGTCGCGGGCTTAATTCGACATCTGCCCAAAATTGGGATCTACCAAAATGTATGTAATTAGTTAGTGAAACATACAAGTAAATCATATATGCATAATCATATATAAAACTAACAACTTTCCTAAAAACGTTTTCCACAAATTTATTTACCACTGTTGCGGGTGGAATTGCCCAAATCGCTGAAACACGTATTCATTGTGAAGCAAATCGGACAAAACTTAAATCTTGACCACAAAATCTTTGAATTGCACTTTTCACCGAGAAGCTTTCACGATTTTTTCACACTTGCCGGTGGAATTTACTGAAAGCCCGTCTTAACGTGCACCTTTGCACAAAAGGTAGCTACACTGAAAATTTCAGCTGCGTTGATCACCATTCAGTCAGTCAGCACAAACAGTTTTATACATGTATTAAAGAATATCTTATTATACCATGAACCCATTGAAAATGGGTTAAAAGGATATAATGCATTGTGCAAATGTATTTAACAGGCAGAAGGAAGCATCTCCGACCCCATAAAGTATATATATTCTTGATCAGCATCAACAGCCGAGCTCGTGTCGACATCCTGTTTTTGAGCAAATTGGGTAAATATTAAGAGCTAGAGTCACCAAACTTGATATGTTTATTCTAGAATAGTATATACATACATCAAGTATCTTTCATTTTATACCTATCGCCACCTCCCCGCTACTATCTGATAGCTATAAATCAAGTTAATAACCCAACTTGTATTGCCCACCAATTTAAGCTACAATTTAAATGCAATTTACTTTTTGAGAATACACAAATTTTCTATGGTACAATAAGATATGTATGGTACTGTACAAAATTTCATAGCGATCGCTTAAAAAACACACAGAAGTTATATGTTTTGACTGCCCACGTGTTAGCGGCAGTTAACGCGAATTCCAAGAATTTCTGTATACATGTACACACACACATTCGTGAGATTCTGCTTCGACTTCTATCAACAGCATTACAATTGCGATTGTATTGTTTTCTGTGCTGCTATTTTAATTCGTTTTTTTACTAATTAGCACTCAATTATTGGTGTGGCTGTTGAGTAGAGTCGGCAGCAAGTAAAGCGGTCGGGTGCGAGTTCGAACCCTGAGGAAGGAAAATTGTTTTTCTTTTTTTAAATTTATCATTATTACTACAAATGAGCGCGTAGCGCGAGCTGCATTTGCTGTTGGAATAAGAGGGCTCAGGGTATTTTCTAGTCGGCAGCTCCCGACTAGAACCTCTTACTTGTTTTTTATACCCTGAACCCATTAAAAATGGGGTTGTTTCCGATAATCGATAACTTACTCCGTTTCCAAGCAATCGATCAAAATCGATATTGATATCCTGTTTTTTGGGCAATTTTGGTAAATAATAAGAGCTAGAGTCAGCAAACTTGACATATAGCTTCTAAAATAGAATATGTATATGCATTTGATGTTGGAAGAAGAGGGTTCAGGGTATCCCCTAGTCGGGAGCTCCCGACTAGAACCTCTTACTTGTTACTCATACATAAACGCATAAACGCATATTTATGCTCAAAGTGGAACCAAAGACAATATAAACAAACCCTGAGATGTGTAACGCCATACAATAAAATGATACAATGCAGTTAGATATTGAGAATAAAAACAAAATCAGTATCATTGCGCTCTCCCCACAATAAAAGAGAAAAAGCTAATAATAGAATGTACTCTCAGCTTCGGCAAGCAACTATGTTTGTACGTGTATGTGTTGTAATTCACTGCTTTTTCTTTTGCTGACAAAGAAATACATATTGAAAGTTTTCTAGCGCTGATCTTGACCTATCCCAAATTTGTGTTCATATATGTACAAACATATGTATGAATGGAATGAGCTTGAATGTACTGAGCTTCGCTCGGCAGAAAATCTGTTTTTTTAAGTTGATGCAAATATTTATATAATTTATTTAAATTAAATTATTAATTAAATTATTATTATTTTTAACTTCGTTGCGAATGTCAGCATCAGCAAGCCGCGACTTCGCCATTCGTTCGTCTGACTTTTGGAGAACGAACAGCCAATCGGCTGGCATGTCGTGTGAAATTGGAAAAGCCAGATAAGAAGCCAGGCTAGAAATGTGCGTCGCATTTAAATGTATGGACGTTACTCTTTATTTCTCAATGGGTGTTACTCATCGTACTGTTTACATATATTGTCTTTGGATAGGGGGGAAATAATATTTAAAAAATGTGCACATACATTGTTCCGTTCGTGTCTCCAAATAGCATTATAGTTCAGATAAAGTTCTTATTTAGTGCGCACTTTAAACTTTATTTATACACAAAGTAATTATAAAATTTATGATAAAAAAAAAAACAATTAAATATATGAAAGCTGTAAACCTTTAGCCCGATTTATAATAGTAGAATGTAGAGATCAGATTAGTGCTTATGACGGTATGCATATCCACCGTTGGCGGCGTAGCGAGTGCCACCTGCAGAGCGGCTGTGACCATAGACACCTCCGCTTGCATGGTGCGATCCTCCAGAGCCGTGCCCAAAACTACGAGCGGAAGAGGATGAAGCTGTTGCGTACGCACCCAATCCAACTCCATGGGAGGAAGCGTAACGAGCTGGCGACGAATAACTATTGAGGGAGCCGGCTGGAGCGGCGTAGCTGCTGTGAGATGCTGCTGGCGCTAGGTACTGACGAGAGGGAGCTGCTACAGATGCATATGTTGAAGCAGAGGAAGAGTAGCTGCCGTGAGATGCGCCTGGAGCGGAATAGCTGCTGTGGGAGGTAGCTGGAGCGGAGTAGCTGCTGTGGGACGCAGCTGGAGCCAGGTACTGACGCGAGGGAGCTGCTACAGGTGCAAATGTTGAGGCAGAGGAAGAGAAGCTGCCGTGGGATGCGGCTGGAGCGGAATAGCTGCTGTGGGAGACAGCTGGAGCAGAGTAGCTGCTGTGGGACGCAGCTGGCGCCAGGTACTGACGAGACGGAGCTGCTACAGGTGCATATGTTGAGGCAGAGGAAGAGTAGCTGCTGCGAGATGCTGATGGCGCCAGGTACTGACGAGAGGGGGCTGCCACGGGTGCATATGCTGAGGTGGACGATGAATGGCTGCTGAGAGAGCTAGCTGGGGCAGAGTAGCTACTGGCACCTGCCGTCGAATAGCTGCTCAGGGATGAGGTTGGCGCCAGGTACTGTCGAGATGGCGTTGTATAGCTGGCTGATGGGGCATATCCATGCGAGCGTGTCGGTGCATAGGAGCTGGCGGCGCTCGATCCAGCCGAGCTGTAGCTACTATACGCATTGGCCTGGGGCGGCAAGTAGCTGTTGCTCAAAGGACTGGCCACGCCCAAGGCGGCCAGGGCCAGCAGAGCAGAGCAAATCGCGAACGGACGCTGCCGGATAAGTGTTTAAATAGCAAACGAGCTTTATGCGACACCATCAATAGCTGGACTTACCATGTCGACTTGGAGTTGCTTAGGTGCTTGCCAAGCGGATACTGATGCCACTGGAATCGAGGGGCAACACTTTTATAGGGGCCACAAACAAAAGAATTGCGAGTACAAATCTTTTGCACCGTCAGCCAAAGTGGAATATAAGCGGTAGAAGAACGAAACGGAATCCAAGATCTCAATTAAACTAGTCAACCGAAACTTGAACGCTAGCTTTAAGATCATACATTTTATAAAAGAAAAAGTAGTGTGGCTAATTTTAACGAATTTTGTACTCAAAATAATATTGAGTAAGTCAAAGGTTCCTAGGAACAGCATAGCCTAGCCGTAGCACGGGGATTTTGCACGCCATTTACTTTGCGATTTTTTTTTTTCTCTTTTAATTTCATGCTTGTTGGACTATAATTGTAATCGATTCTATGGTCGGAGTTTGGTTGGTTTTTGTTTCACGTTTGCTCTGACGAATGTCAAATAATTTTATTGTATTTAAAATCCTTGAGTGGAAACTAGGACGGACCTATGTCTTCGTTAAAAAAGGGATACCAACTAGAAGAAGTGACTTTTCAAAGACAAAAACGTATTGAGAACCTTTACGCTCTTTTCCACTAATGAATTATCTGCTAAAAGGTGGCAACGCTCTTTGTCCAGTTGAGAGCTGCCACCTTATTAGGGGCACAAATTTCAAAGGAACGCGCAGAAAAGAGGGAAGCATTTGAAAGTTAACGGCTAAAAGTTAATTGCAAATGACCGCCCTGCTCTTCTTCTAACTAAACGTAGTAAGAACTTGTTGCACAGTGTTAACGCAGAATTGCGCGATTGTAGAGGATGCCGCGGAATCTAATAGACCGTTTATTTTTAGCCATGTCCATTTCGGAAGTCACAGAGCCAACACACAAACATAAACGCAAATACCTCGAAAGTTTAATTAATGATGCGTTTTTTTCCTATTTTTATTCTTGTCTTTTTTTTTTGTTTGCTTTTTTTTTCTTTGGCCAGCGTTCAGAGCTTAGCCTGCCCAGAAGTTGGTATTGACAGCATGAAACGAACGTGAGATAAGTAAGCCGAAGCCAAAAGCATCGGAGCCCAACGCATTGCCTCAGTTTGGATTGGTTCAGCTTTGGCTTTGGCTTTGGCTAGAATCCGATGATTTGGTATAGCTGCGGGCCGTGCACTTGGAACATGGAACTTGGCACTTCATCTTGGCCAAAACTGTTCTTTCTTGGGCCCACGTCCGCCGGCATAAAGCGACGATTACTCAAGTTAGACATTAATTATAATACGTACAGTGTGTATGTCTTTGCGTGAACAAAAACCAGAATCAGAGACAGCAACAGCAACAAAAACAATAACAATAAAGCGGACAATTTGTTTATGGGCGCGCACTTAAATTATGCGCACAGCTTTGCAGATCGTTATCCGAGCGCAGATATATCAGTTGGTCTTCAAGAGACCATGTGGACTGACGGCAGTTAGTAAAGTTGGGAATACATATACATAATACAAATTCAACTTGCTAAAATTTGTTTATTCACTCTATTTATTTACCCTGAGCAAAGAAAACCAATTAAAAGCGTTTATAACTTATATGATTAACAGGCTGTGCTTGAATAAAAGCGTTTACAGCATTTAAACAAAGACATGCTTTCGAGAGTAAGAACATTTTTAAAAACACCATAAGACATAGAAACTTGGCTAGAAGTATCCTTTATACTCTTATCGCAACCTATTTAAGAAGAACCTAGAAACTTGGCTGGAAATGATCCTTATATTCCTATCGCAACCTTATTAAAAAGAACCTAGAAACTTGGCTAGCAATATCCTCTATATTCTTAACGCAACCTTTTTAAGAAAAACCTAAAAACTTGGCTAGAAATATTATTTATATTCTTATCGCAACCTTTAAAAAAAGAACCTACTTATAAACTTGTCTAGAAGTATCCTTTATTTTCTAATCGCAACCTTCTTAAGAAGAATCTAAAAACTTGGCTAGAAGTATCCTTTATATTCCTATCGCAACCTTTTTAAAAAGAACCTTCTAAAAAACTTGGCTAGAAATATTCTTTGCATTCCTATCTTATCTGATCTTTAATATCAATTGTTAGCTTAACATAATTTGTTTATTTTCATTTTTATTAACAATTCAGTTAGTTTTGTTATACGCTGCAATCGAACAGTTCCTTCCGATCCCTACCAAGCGAAAGACTCTGAAGGAAGAGTATAGCTACATTGTTTTGTAGCTCATATTTCTTAAACCTGGTTTTGATTTGCAATCTGTCTTAGGACAATAAGCAAAATGCTTAGAAAATAAAGTAATATACAACAAAACTTATTTTAATTAATTGATTGTTTGAGCTGCAATTAGTTCAAATGACATATATTACATTACTAGCGGGTATAGCCCGGCCTTGCCTGGGGCACGTATAAAGAAAGAGTTCTCAAAAAGCTTTGAAAATGATTTTGAAACTGATCGGAAAAAATTAAAACGTCACCAAAAAAATTCTTTGGATTGCACTGTTTTAAAAGGTCTCAAATGATTTTTTTATGGATCCTTGGCAATGAATTTAAGCGCGAAGCGTCACCCACCAAATCTTAGACACCCATTTCCACCAAGAAGGGATGGATTTTCCAAAAAGTGCGAAGCACCACTCTAAATGATTTTAAGCAAAGATCTTTGAAAATGAGTTTGAGGCCGATCCGATGGTTAACAAAAAAGTTTCATACCAACGTTTTTCGCAAATTAACCACTGTTGTGGGTGGAAGTTCCCAAATCGCTGAAACACGCATTCATTAAGTTATTATGTAGAGCTCTGAAAATAAGTTTGAAGCAAATCGGACACCACCTAAAACTTCGCCCAAAAAATCTTTGAATCGCATTTCTCCCGAAGGAGTTTGGATTCTGTGAAAAATTTTAAAAACCTCTCAAATGATTTTCCATATAGATACTTGAAATTGAATTTGAGGGCGAAACGTCATCCACCAATCCACCAATCCACCAACCACCATCTTTGACCCCCATTTCCACCAAGGAGGAATACATTTGTGGAAAAATGTGAAACACCCCTCAAATGAATTAGAGCAAAGAACTTTAAAATTGAGTTTGAGGCCGATCGGATGGTAAGCAAAAAAGTGTTATACAAACGTTTTTCGCGATTTGTTCATACTTGCGGGCGGAATTTCCCGAAGGTTCTTAACGTTCACCTTCATCACATAAGGTAACTACAGTGAAAATTTAAGCTTCCTAGCTCTTAGTGTTTGGGCTGTTCACCAATCAGTCAGTCAGTCAGTCATTATATATAGAGATATCTTGTTTATTTTGGCTTAATTTATGATGCCATGTGGAAGATCTTTTTGAAGCGTCGTGTGTCCCAAAAATGTACTCAGATGTTTAGAGCCAAGCTATTTTAATGACTGTGTAACCTATTTATATATGATTATCATTTATTTGTGTTTAGACTGTGAGATTCAAGAATTTTCTATAAAATTAAAAGATTTTTCTCTGAACTTTAAGGCAATATTATATATTTTAAGGTGATTACATTTAGAAATTCTTAACTTTAACAAAGCTGAAGTATTCTTAAGCTACTTCTGAGAGATATGTCTTCTGCATGTGCTTAGCTCTTACTTAAAAATGTTTAAGATATTTCGTTGCCCAACTCTTGAGTAATAATACTTTTGCCCAATCCATAATAGTCCCAGACATCTTTTGGAACTTCCGAGTTCTTTTGGGTTGTGTTCCATCTGAGATGATCTCCCAGACCCTGTTCCGACCTTACCAAAAGCTCAACTGCCTTGCATTTCCCTTGACTGGTTTAAATTAGGTCAGTTAACTTTCGAAGACTCTGCATGATTCCCATTCGCACAAAAATGGTTAAATGTTAACTTAAACAAGATTAAATGCAGTTTACTCATAATTACAGCTTTCATAATCGTGTGTATATGTCGAATAGCTATAAGAACTCTAACACTCTAAATTGCAGGTTTCGATGAGCTAAGCAGCTGCTGAATAGCTCAAATGTCGTATAATTTAAACATGTATTCAATGTTTGTTAATTAAAGTGAATAGAGCCCGCATTCCGAGGCATTTTTACAAAATAAATCCAATCTAATTCTTCTTCATCTTCATACTCATGAAAATTAATTTACTATTTTGGCCGCGCTAATAAATTATTTTTCAAACACTTTCAGTCAATTTGTTGGCTATTAAAGCTAAACATACATATTAATTGCCAACAAGTAAGAACTTATTCGGAATCGCGCGCCCAATAGATACCCTGGATGCAGGTCTAAGAGAGGAGGAATAAGGATGATTTGTTATTAATAAGTTGCAGTGGATTGTTCAATAAATGTTATTTTTTATTTTTCTGTAAGTTTAAGAAAACAGAGAATATATTTAAAAACATATGTAAGTGCACATAATTTAAGTGTTCTGTTTAGCAGCTGATATTAAAATACAAAATAGTTAAGAGTGTCTAACTTTTTAGGCTTGTCTCTTGATAGAAATCGAGCGTATATATATACAAATATGAATATATCTTATAGAGTCTATCGTCCATGTACACCCATATGATGTGTACAGGGTATGAGCAAAGAATTTGATAAATTAATTTATTAGCTTAACTAACACAGGCAAACGAAAAGCTGATTATGTATTATTTATTTATTCCACTACTTTTTTAGCCAGTTCAGCGCAGGAAAGAAGTTTGACATCTGGCAGATATTTATATATATATTGTATATAAAACCTGAAACGACAAACGTAATTTGCAAAAATTATTTATTTATTGTGTTGCGTGAGTTTGTTTTGGGTTTTTTTTTTTTTTTTTTTTTTTAATTATGTTCCTTTTCAGCTGTTGAATTGAGAGCTGTTCACAAGCGTTAAACACACTACATATGTATATAAGCGTTTGTGTATATCGTGCCTTTACTTATATGCTAAATATATATAAATATATACGTATATATTTTTCTTGTGCGCTGCATCTTTAGTGCGAAACTGAAATCGGGTTAATGTTAATGGGCCTTCAAAACTTGTTATGCACGAATAACGGGCCACTCGCTGCAAGGAAGAGGCATTGAGAAGCGCATAGAAGGGCCGGTGCGGTCAGTGCATTGCCCCGGCCCAATGCTCAGCTGCATCAGGACATATATAAGCATGTGGCAGTCAGTCAGAACCTGACTTAGTGCATTGCTGGCATTCCGTTGAGTTCGTCGCACCATCGAGCCGCATTTCGTTTCTGACATCTTTCAATATACATAAGTCATGCAGCTGGCTTGGAGCTTGTCTTTGTTGGTTGCCAGCTCGTTGCTGGCACACGTGTTGCCAATGCCAACGTCCATGGCAATGGCTGTGACCACAACGAAACCAAGGCTGATCGTCAGCAGCGACGAGGAGCCACAGTCCATGGTATATCAATTTATTGTGGATCCCACGCCCACAACGATGGGACAGAACTACTACATTAAGCCCGGCCAATTGTTGGGCACGATCAGCTTGGACTCCGGCACGCTGCACGTAAAGCACGAGGATAGCAAGCGGCCCATCAGCAGCAAGTTAAACATCCTATTTGTGGCCAATGTCAAGGAGCAGGATGTGTCCACCAAAAACACGCTCGATGAGTAGCAAACATTCCAATCTTAACTCTATTTAGTCTAACAATAAATCATGTTAATGAATTTCATTTAGTTGAACTGCTGTTTTACTCTTGTGAATTTGATAAACAAGAAAATAAGCAGAGATTACGATTTTTATACCCTGAACCCATTAAAAATGGGTATAAGGGTATATTGTAATTGTGCGAAATCCAAATGTATGTTACAGTATATATTCTTGATCAGCACCGATAGCTGAGTCGATCTAACCATGTCCGTCTGTCTGTCCGTCCGTCCGTATGTATGAGCGCAAGGATCTCAGAACCTATAAGAGCTAGAGACTGAAATTTTAGATGTAGGTGCTCCTAGTGCTCGCGCAGATCGAGTTTGTTTCCGATAACCGATAACTTGCCCCGTTTGCCAGCAATCGATAAAAATCGATATCGATATCCTGTTTTTTGGGCAATTTTGGTAAATAATAAGAGCTACAGTCAGCAAACTTGACATATAGCTTCTAAAATATAATATATGTATATATATGCATTTGATGTTGGAAGAAGAGGGTTCATGGTATCCCCTAGTCGGGAGCTCCCGACTAGAACCTCTTACTAGTTTTGGGTTTATACCAGCATTGGCATAAACTCGAGTATATAAACTTGAGTATATAAGTTCAGATGGAAATTGTACAATGTTGCAGTCGGATCTTATATGGACAATGCATTTTATTTAGCTGATTTTAATTATTTTCAATCGATGCTTCCAATTGCAGTCAAGAGTAATTCAATGTATATTTTTGTGATATATGATTAGCTGGGTCTGGATATCTTTGAGATATCGAATGAAGTTCTTGACCGTTCGTTTCTATGACAGCTTATTTTTCCTAGCCGCAGTAGAAAGAGATTATCTGTCAAGTTTACTTAAGATTAAAGAGCCTGTAATTGGTGTTCGGTGAAAAAATGAACATCGCATTATTAACTTGGATATTGATCAAGTTAAGAAATATATACATAGAATGTATAGTGTCCCAGGGTATAAGGTTAGGTATGACAGGATAGCCCATAAGGGTGTCTAAACTATGAACTGAAATTTGATTTACACGCTCAATTCAAGCAGAAGCAACTAACGTGTTCCAATCTCCTTGGGATGCATTTTGCATTCTCACTTGTTAGATAAACAAATGCGTTGCATATTTGTTTGATAGTTTTTAAAGTGATCAGCAGTTTTAGCTGCTCTGCGAGTATTCCAATTATTTAGCTGGAATTTGGATTCTTATTTGCCGGATGAAAGGGGATTCCCTTAAATATAAATAAATCGTTTCGTTTATCGTTTTCGGTTGTTTAAAAATTATTTAATTTTGTGCGAAAACAAAATTTAGAACAAAAAAAAAAAAAAATTATATTTAAAGCCCTTTTGAAGGACTTAATTGCGCTTGTAGACGTAGCCTCCGTTGGAGCCGTAGACAGTGTCAATGCCGGAGGAGCTGGCTCCGGAGTAGCTCACCACCGGAGCGCTGTAGCTGGCGGCAGCAACGGGCGCGGGAGCAGCATACGAGGCGCTCTGGTAGGTAGCAGCTGGGGCGACATACGATTCGCTGGCAAAGCTGGCGGCAGGAGCGGCATACGACTTGCTGGCGAAAGCGGTGACTGGAGCGGCATAGGAGGCACTCTCGAAGGTGGCAGCAGGAGCAACATACGACGATTCGCTGGAAAAACTGGCGGCAGGAGCGGCATACGACTTGCTGGCGAAAGCGGTAGCTGGAGCGGCATAGGAAGCGCTCTCGAAGGTGGCAGCAGGAGCAGCATATGATTCACCATCGGTGTAGCTGGCAGGAGCAGGAGCGCTGTAGGACTTGCTGGCGAAAGACGTGGCTGGGGCGGCGTAGGAAGCGCTCTGGTAGCTGGCAGCTGGCGCCACATACGAGGAGTCGCTGGTGTAGGAAGCAACTGGAGCAGCAACAGTCTCGGCGGCAAAGCTAGCAGCCGGTGCAGCATAGGAAGCGCTCTGCGATGAGGCAGCGGGTGCAACATACGACTGGCTGGCATAGGTGGCTGCCGGGGCGGTGTACGTCTTGGCGGCGCTGAACACTGGTGCCGAGTAGGTACTGGCGGCGGCAACCTGCTGGGGCGGCAGATAGGTGTTGCTCAAGTGGCTAACATCGGCAGCGGCGAGTGCCACCAGGGCGAACGAGACGATGGCGAGGAATTGCTAAAATAGATCAGCAAAGTGTATTAGCAGGAGACGGGTCTCCAACACAGTGTCCCTACTAACCATGTTGGAGGTGTGTTGCTGCGTTGACAAAGCTGGTCAAAGAACTAATTTGTTGCTATCACATCCTAACATATTTATAGTCGAAATTCTTAACGGATCTCGATACAAATGTCAAACAGACGCGTTGAGTGGAGCCCAAAAAAAACAAAAATAATAAGAACTTGTAGATGCTTTAAAAAAATGCTCATAAAATATCGTTCATTATAAGCTTTCTATGAATAAATAAACAAAATAACAAAAAGTAAATAAGTAAAAAATACAATAGCAATAACTAATAAAATCAGAGCTCAGAACGGGCTGGAGCTCGTATTGGGATCTTATGACGTCCGTCTTTGACGATTGGACGTTCGTTCATTAGCGGACGCAGAACTCTAAATTCTATCTAAAACATGTTTTTTATACCCTGAACCCATTAAAGTTGGGTATAAGGGTATATTGTATTTGTGCGAAAGCCAAATGTATGTAACAGGCAGAAGGAAGCATCTCCGACCCCATAAAGTATATATATTCTTGATCAGCACCAATAGCCGAGTCGATCTAGCCATGTCCGTCTGACTGTCCGTCAGTCTGTCCGTCCGTGTATGTATGAACGCAAGGATCTCAGAACCTATAAGAGCTAGAGACATTTGAAATTTTATATGTAGATGCTCCTAGTTCCCGCGCAGATCGAGTTTGTTTCCGATAATCGATAACTTACTCCGTTTCCAAGCAATCGATAAAAACCGATATCGATATCCTGTTTTTTTGGGCAATTTTGGTAAGTAATAAGAGCTAGAGTCAGCAAACTTGACATATAGCTTCTAAAATAGAATATATATATGCATTTGATGTTGGAAGAAGCGGGTTGAGGGTATCCCCTAGTCGGGAGCTCCCGACTAGAACCTCTTACTTGTTTTTGTTTTATTTTTTGTTCTTTGTGCAGCTCGTCCATTTAATAGCCGAACCATAAAGCACGTTATTGGAAACTCCATTCATAACGCGAGACGCGCCGGTTCCCCTGGTCATGTACAAAGTCGCGATAGCCAACGAGTTCCATGCCCTGCAATCAGTCAAGACGGACAATCAATCAAGATGAAAGCACTGGGAGAAGTTGCCTTGCGGCAATGTTGAAAAACACAGCGGGATTTTTCAGACAGTGTCTGCGGACTGGAATTAACTAATCAACAGCAGGTAGCATTGCCAACTGTTGATGAGTAATGCAAATAATAATAAGCAATTTCAATTCGATATATATTGCATTTGAAGACCGTCTATTTTTGGGATCTGCCAGCATCCAAATCCGTATTTTTTTACATTTGCTAATAATTTCATTTTTGCTGCAACCGGCAACATCCCAAAGCAGTTGCTGTTAAAATTCTTGTAATAAATACATACATGAATATACTTAACAGCTTTTGCAACGATGCCAGAGCAGTGGCTGTTAAGCTGTTACGTTAGTTAAGCTACTGTTGCTTTTATATTTACAGCGCTGTAACGGCGCAACTGTCATCTTTAACAGCTGAGCATGCCAAACTGTATGAAACAAATCAAACGAAGGCTTCAACGTTTTTCTCTTGTTCATTTTATTTTGGTTAAAAAAAATAAAATAAAATAAAACAAATTAACAGGACTAGGGCTACAATTTGGCTAAGTAAAGTTCATTTATGAAACATCTAAAGGTGTCGAGTATGCGAATTCGGGCGGCCGGCGTCGGGCCAGCCCGTTCAAACGCATTTACTTCGTCCTCTCGTAGACGTAGCCGCCGTTGCTGGCATAGTTGGTGTTGGTCTCCGAGACACTGGCTTCTTCGCTAGCCGTGCTGCTGATCAGTGAGCTGGTCGCTGGAGCCGTCACCAGAGCTGGGGCTGGAGCCGCCTGCAGACCGGCTGTGGAAACAGGCTGTGTGTAGGTCAGCTGCTGCTGCTGGGCAACGGCGGGTGCGTAGCTGTAAGTAGGTGTAAACTGCTCGACGGACTGGACAGGAGTGGGTGGGGCTGGCACAAACGATTGCTGCAATTGCAGCGGAGCGTCAACTTGAGCCTGAGCCGTTGTGGTGTAGATCTGCTGTTGCTGCTGCTGTGCCTGGAACTGCACGGGTACCGGAGCAGAGATAATCTCGGGTGCACTGTAGCTGGCAGTGGACTGTTTAGCAATTGGAGCGACAACCGGAGCTACTGGTGCCTGATAGTTGTAGCCAGTGTATTGGCTCTGCTGAGCGGGTGCAGCTACAAAGGATGTTTCTTGTACTTGTTGAACCACTGGAGCCGGAGCGGGAGCTGAAGCTGGCGCAGCGTATGTTTGCTGCACCTCAGGAGCGGATGCCGTTATCACAGTTTGATGAGCAGCTGACGCGCTAGCTGAAGCGGAGTCGGTATCCTGGACAGCTGGAGCGGCCGTTGCAATCGCCTGACTCTGTTGAATCACTAGAGCTGGAGCGGAATATGTTTGCTGAACCACTTGTGCAGAAGATTGCACCGAATGGCTCTCCTGGACGATTGCACTCGGAGCGGAGTAGGTTTGTGGCAAAACGGGAGCGGCTGTTGCTACAGAGTACTGCTCTTGAGCCACTGGAGCTGGAGCGGAGTAGGTTTGCTGAACAACTGGATCTGGAGCGGAGTAGGTTTGCTGAACCACTGGAGCTGCAGCTGGGCTGGAGTAAGATTGCTGAGCCACAGAAGCTGGGGCGGAGTATGTTTGCTGAACCACTGGAGCTACGGCGGAGTACGTTTGCTGAACCACTGGAGATAGGGCGGAGTAGGTTTGCTGAGCTACTGGAGCTGGAGCAGAGTAGGTTTGCTGAACCGTTTGAGATTGAGCAGAGTAAGATTGCCGAGCAGCGGGAGCAGGTGCAGAGTAGGTTTGCTGAGCTACTGGAGCTGGGGCGGAGTACGTTCGCTGAACCACTGGAGCTGCAGCTGGGCTGGAGTAAGATTGCTGAGCTACAGGAGCTGGGGCGGAGTATGTTTGCTGAACCACTGCAGCTGGGGTGGAGTAGGTTTGCTGAACCGTTTGAGCTTGAGCAGAGTAAGATTGCTGAGCAATGGGAGCAGGTGCAGAGTAGGTTTGGTGAGCTACTGCAGCAACTGGTGCGGTCACTGTTTGCTCAACAGGTGGCACGGGCTCCTGAACAGCAGGCGACGCGGATGGCACAAAGAGCTGCGTGGGAATTGCTGACCCCGAATAGGTGTTCCTCGGGGGCGTCTCTGTGGCCACAATTGTTTGGGGTGCCTCATAGCTGATGGAAGTGGGTGCCGCAGCAGCTGGCGCCCGATATTGCTGACTGATGGAGCCTAACTGGCCACCATTTTGGATGGTAAAGCTGCCCAGCGATACGGATGGCCTGATGGACTCAATCTGTGCGATGAGCTGCTGCGGCTGCTGGAAGCTCTGATAGCTCTGCTGTACGGGTAACCTCTGGCTGGACAGATCCTTAACAGGTGCCGGTGGCAGGTAGCTATTGGACTGCGCACGGGCCACAGCTAGGCCCACAATGGCAACGGCAACAGCGACAAACGCAACGGGTTTCTGGCACACAAGGCATTAAATAAAAGGAAAAAGATGAAGCAGATTAAGCAATCCAAAGTTGGCGCGTCGAAAGGCAAGTGGTAAATAGTAAAAGTGAAGATTGTCTCACTTGGGCGCATCGCTTACCATGTTGTTGAGTGGAGTTACAGCTGCGCGTGCTACACCAAACGAACGAAACCGTAAAACTGATGTCTGCCCCACAGGTCCGATGGGCATTTATAGTTAAAAAGCCATCGCGAACGATGGACAGGGCACTTGGCACTGGCATCATTGTCAAACTCTGCTTCTGACTGTCCATAATTGGTTCAGCGTCAGCTGCGCCATCTATGTGTGAATATTTGAATGCAAAGTATGTTCACAACAAAAGCATGCAATTTGGCTATATGTAGCTTTGAAGCGAACCGATTAATAAATGCCCAAATGCTAAATGTTAAGAAAACGAAAAACAATGGGCCAGCTCGTAAAGTTGTACACACGCGCTATGCACAATACTCGCTGTTGTGTGTGTGCCGAGACGTGGGCAAATCAGGTCTAATCTCAAGTTTCCCATCTGGCTAACTTGGTCAACATTGGGAGCGCTGTCCAAAGTGTTGCACAAATTGCTTTCTTTTCGCTTCGCGAAAAAGCACATGCAAATTTTCCAGACTCACCAGTTGACAACATAAAGATTCGCCAAACAGTGGCTAAATGGTTATGGTGTTACGTGTACAGCTACATGTTTGCATTTTGGCCAACTGCACATTTTGCTTGCACAGCCAATTGCCGTCTTGCCGCAATGGGTAAAGTGCGTTGACTGCACGCAGGTTGCGAGATTACGACGAAATGGATATCAGCGATCCATGGTGAGCCCCCTGAAGTTGGCATTCCAATAATCAGCACCGATAACATTTCGCTAACATTTCGATAACAGAACGAGGCCAAGGCTTCGAACTAGCGTTCATGCTTAACAGCGGATTGTGACGTCACAAGCGATGAAGGCGCAAGCAGCTCTTCACTGACATTTTGCGTTCGAGCTAGGCGTGACAGCACTGGCTTAGCTTTGCACTTGAATTGAAGTGACATTAAAACTAATGTGTATTTTAAAGTAACAACATTTTAATTTTTATGTGCTTGTTTTTTTTTGTTTGACTATTGTCGATTTAGTGCTTATAAAATTGTATTTGCATACTTTTGGCAATTTAATCAAAGTATAGAATAAGCATAAGAATAAGAAGCAAAACATAAACTAGAAATATATTTTGATTGCTTAGTGAATAAAAATATGTATGCAACTGTTGTATGGGACTGGTTTTTGGGTGCGTTTGCATCTGTTAAGAATATCATGTTGTTTATTATGTTAATGCTGTCAAGCCACTCAGATCTTAACAGATAATTTCTTATCGAGCATACGAACAATACGAACATTGTCAACATCAACAGATATCGACGTTGCTCGTGGGGAAGATCGCATAACAGAAATGACAGATAAAATGTCAAGTTGAGGGTCTCTGCAGAGGCCCCGAGGCAACAGTTGCATTAAGTAATTATGACTAATTGCGTATCGAGCAGCCTTTAAAGTTAACAAGAAGAAGAGCTTAATTAGCGTAGTGCGTTCATAATGTACAGATATTAAAGTAGAATTGACAAAAAAATCAATCATAGGCATAGGTGAAAAATAACCAATAACCAAGAAGCAGAAGGTCCATGGTAAATGACTAGCAGATACCCTGTAGCCAGATCTAAAGTCCCGAAACATAAAAGATATATTTATTTAACTTGTGTGTATATTTTTTGAATCTCTTCGAATCGAATCTTTCACAGATAATAAAATGCAATTTACTTTTGGTAAATATTGTAATATTGGTCTGTTAAATGCTTTACAAGCATTTACTCGACTGCTGATGTTGATCAAGAACATATATACCCTGTAAGATCACATTCTGACATCATTTTACGTGCACGTGTTGCGGGGTATACAAACATAAATTGAAATAAACCAAATGTATTCAAACATGTTTACAGATTGAATAATAAATAACAAAGGGGCTACAAATAAAAAAGATGGAAATTAACAACAATGCAACCACAAAACAAAATAACCATAAAAACATTGTTGTCTCTGGCCGTTGCCAAATGAATTTGCATATAAACATAAAATACGACTTGAAAACTTTAGGAAATATCACGTCACTTCACACTCTCGTAGGCGTTTGTCGCGAAATGTGGCAAATTGCAAACAAATGGAGCAAGTTTTTCAACTCATCCGCAAGATTTCTATCTAAATTTATACCCTCTATTTATACCCTCTACTAGACGGTAAAATGTATATGTGTTGTGCTTTAAGCTAGTGACTTATTAATATTGCAATGTGATGTTATGTTTTTAATATTGGTGATCCAATATTAAGAAATTCAAAAACAAAATTCAAATAAACGTTTGTTTAATCGGCAATTTCTTACAACTAGAAGCTATGCATAAAATATAATATTTGCAAACATTTTAAGTAGTAACAATCATTAAATCAATTATTAAATATTATGATAGAACCTGCTACGATCTAACAGTATTTTCTAACATTTTCACCGAGTTTCTGTTTCATTTTTAATCAACAGTTGTTTAATTAACTTATTATTTGATAGAAAAATAGTTTTAGAAAAAATGTTTCTTAATCGTATCTTTAAAGAAAATATCAGAATTCTAAATGATAATATCTACGTGTAGCATATTTCCTTTAATAGATTGTAAAAAGGAAATTTAACAAAAAATGTTTCCTAATCTAATCTTTAAAGAAAAGCTCTGAATTCTAAATTGGGTGTAGTTAATTTTCGAACGAGAAATTATACTTTGCCTTCTTAAAATGCTGAAAATTATTTTACCCGATTTACCTACGTTACGATTAGCATAACCTTTTGTGCCTGCTCAACTTGAAGAGCCATAAACAAAATTATAAAAAAAAGCAAACACAAGGTGATGAAGTTGAATAACGAAATGAAATGTGTTTAATAATAAATTAACGATATCGCTACGGGGCTATAAAATCGCTGTAACTCATTTGGCGCGCTTATAGATGTAGCCGCCGTTGGATGCATATATGGTCTCCTTGTTCCGGGACTTGGCCAACTTTTTCGCAGAGCTGCTCTTTGCTTTTGCATTCGTTTCTGGCTGTGGCTCGTCGGCGTATGGCTGCGGCTGGGGCTGATAGTGTTGGCCGGGTATGCCGAAGCTGGGCGAGAAGGGCTGACCCACCAGCTGCTGGTAGGGATATGCGGGCTGCGGGCTACCAAAGCCGGGCTGCATGCCAAAGCCGACATTCTGTTGGAAGCCCAGCTGCATGCCTGGGGAGGGTAAGCCTTGCATGGTCAGGTAATCGGGAGTGGAAGGGAAGGGAATTGGTCCACCTTGTTGTCCAAATGGACCAGGCTGGGGTCCAACTGGAAAGCCACCTCCCTGGGGCCCGATCGGAAAGCCATTGTTCTGAGGTCCACCCGGAAACGGAATGGCCTGCGGTCCAACTGGAAATGGCCCGCCTTGTGGTCCAACCGGAAACTGCCCAGGTTGTGGGCCAACTGGAAAAGGTCCACCTTGTGGTCCACCCGGGAACTGTCCACCCTGTGGACCAGGTGGAAAACCACCAGCTTGTGGGCCAATCGGAAACTGCCCACCCTGTCCGCCAATTGGAAACGGTCCACCCGGAAACTGCGCCTCATAGCCAGGCGGCACTTGACCAGCTCCCATTCCATATCCTTCCGGCCCACCGCCAAATCCAAAGAACGGCGGATAGATGGGCAGCGGAAAGTTGGGCGGCGCCATGGCCGGTGGTGGCACATTGCTACCTGTGGGTATTGCGTAGCCCGAGGGCAGCATCAGACCACTCATCGGATAGAAAGGATCATTGGATTGCATATCCTCCGCAGGCGCTTCCTCATCCGCCAATGGTTGATTGGCTGGCTGCTCGCTTTCTGGTGGCAAATAGTTGCTGGAGAGATGGCTAACATCTGCGTTGACCAGGTGCTGGAGCAGGAGCAGCAGCAGTAGCGGCCATGTGATCCACGGCTTCGTAAGCATCTTTGTTGGATGTCTATGTTCGTGTCGTTGAGCGAGCTTCAAGCTCGAGCGGGCGGTGTGAACTGTGCGCCGTTGGCACTGTAAGTGGCCACTTATAAGACAATTCCACAGTTCGCCAGTTACATTGTGATCTAGCAAAACTTACATAAACATTTCGTATCCGTATCATTTCACTTTCCTTTACTTTGCATTATAATACCATCTCTCGCCACGGAGTTCCGTTGTGGCGCCAAAACTGAACTATAAAAATTAATTAGGCAGGCAGGCAAATTTATTAAACTGTCACATATCTATATCTATATATATATATATATATATATATATAACCCCCTCCCCGCCTCCCAACCACCAATGCCCAGCGATTTTGCATACAAAGACTATTCAAAAACATTTCTCCCAACTGGTTTGCTTTGGTAATTAATAATTCAGTTCCAGTTTCGGCATCGAGAAAAATAACCTCTAGTTAGTGAACGCTTTCTATGATATAATAATTATAAATTAAACATTCCAGCAACAAGAATCTATTAATATGCGCATATTTCAGCAATTACGATTTGATTCTTGGCCATATGAGCTAAGCTTATTATTAAATAAATAAAACAATCAACAGTTCTTAATAAGATTAAGAACTCCACTAGTTTCAAGACGATATACCCAGGCTACATACTCTTTGAATATTTTAAACAACAGCAAGTCGACTTGCATATACCCTGCAGTCTAGCGTCGAATAGCTGTGTCTTATATATTCAGCATTCATTTCTTTAATGTTTGTATTAAGATCGAATAACTATATCCCATAGAACTATATATATATATATATATATATATGTCATAACAACCTTTCTATTTTCAAAATATCACAAATACTACCAGTTGTAAATTTTAATAAATTCGTAATACTGTAGCTATCATAGGAAAGTTACGATACAAATGGTTGCTGCATAACTTTAACATATGTTATACTTAATTAACTAAGTTTATATCAAATATTTCGGAGCATTTTGAGATTAACATCACTAAAACATGTGGCACAGCTGTCGCAATTTAACTAAATGCAATACCATGCAATCCTTTTAATAAGTACATGTAATCCTCTAAATAGAATGTATTGAAGTAGGACAAAGTTTTTACTAAGGGTATGGGCTAGTCGCCTACCTACTAGGCACAGCTAATAAAATCCCGTATGCCAGAGCTTTGCTAGGAACAAATCGCATGCTGAAAAGCTTTACAAAAAAGCTTGAGCTAAGCACTTAAACCCTATAAGTTAGTAAAGATAACTTGTTAGCTTTGGCACCATCATAAAAAGCTCCTCGGGAGCTTTTGAGCTTGAATACTTATGACTCGCAGAATGCACTCAGTGTTGCGGCTTCAGACATTAAGCTGAGGGTCTGGACTAAATTTTGAATATAATGGCAGATACTTAAAGAAAAATATATATTGTGATATTTTAGATATGTTTTGTATTTTTTTTAATTATCATATACACACAGGTTAAAAAAAAAAAACAAATGAATAGAATATGCGGAGCAAAAAACATATCAAATGTTAATTACAACTATGTTGATTCGATTTGGTGAACAGTTTCCAGCGTCTTACTTCTTCTTGTAGACATAGCCGCCGTTGGAGGCGTACTGGGTGCCGGCATCGACAGACGAGTAGCTGCCGGCGGAGGAGCCAGTGCTGTAGCTCTGCTGGTAGGCGGGTGCGGAGTAGGCAACCGAGGGAGCAGAGTAGCTAACCGATGGTGCGGAGTAGGTCTGCTGGTAGGCTGGGGCGGAGTAGCTCTGCTGGACAGCTGGGGCAGAGTAGCTCACAGCCGGGGCGGAGTAGGTCTGTTGGACAGCGGGGGCAGAGTAGGTCTGCTGGACAGCGGGGGCAGAGTAGGTCTGCTGGTAGGCCGGAGCAGAGTAGGTCTGCTGGACAGCTGGTGCGGAGTAGCTCACCGAGGGAGCCGAGTAGGAGACAGCTGGTGCGGAATAGGTCTGCTGCACGGCCGGAGCGCTGTACGCCTGCTGCACTGGCGGCAGATACTCGTTGCTGGGTGCGCTATAGCTGACGGAAGGAGCCGAGTAGGAGGCACCAGCAGTCGAGTAGGATGAACCGCCAGTCGAGTAGCCAACCGAGGGCGCCACGTAAGTTTGCTGCTGCACGGGCGGCAAGTACTCGTTGCTGGGTGCAGCATAGCTCTGGCTAGGTGGCAGATACTTGGTCAGATGGCTAACATCGGCGGCCGCGCAGGCGAACAGGGCGAACACAATGAGGAATTTCTGCAATGGACGAGACAAGACATTGTTGCTTCGATTAAACACACGGCACAGCACAGCACAGCAATAATAATAATAATAGAAAAACACTTGCACAGTAAAAAAAAATAAAATCAAATAAATATCGAGGATAAAAAAAAGGCAATTGTAATTAAGCCAATTAGCTGTATTACTCCAACGGTTAAGTCGTACTAACCATGTTGGATTGTTAGCTACGAGACTACGACTGTACTGGACGAGCTAGACGCTGAAACTGATGCTGATCCCTAAAGCATGCCGGCAATTTATAGCGAAAAAAAATATCACTCAACTTGCAGCACATTTCGAGAAGAAGCAGCTCGCGGCGGCTACGTCTGCAGCTTCCACTTGAAATATACACTCAGCGAAAAGAAAAAGACAAAAAAACATAAATAAAGAGATGCCAGAAAAAAAAAATAAAAAATAATACCAATAACACAAAAATAAAAGCAAACCAAAGGCGTAAACAAGTTTTACGCATTTACAAAACTTTTCCGCAACCGATTTTGGTACAACTCGTGGACAACTTTGTGGCCACACATCATCCCAAAAATCTAACCGGCTAATAGATATTTTAATACTAGTCTGTCAACTAATTTTCATGCGGCTCATTAGCGCCAGAAAAGGCAAGTGAGAAAAGAAGGCAGACACGAGCAAGAGAGAGACAAAGAGAGAGAGAGAGAGAGAGAGGGAGAGTGCAAGTGAGAGTGTGCGAAAGGGAGATGGCAAAAGGGCGCGCACGAGCTTATTCGATTTGAAGGTCATGGATTTGATGGGCTTGTGCGAACTATTGGAGCCCGGGCTGAACCTTTCGCCGCATTGTTTCAATTTGAGAAATTAATTGCATTTGGCTTTTGCCACAAGTTAAAAAAAAAACGAAGAGCAGCCCAATTGGGCACGGGTAAGACCTTGGCCAACGGCATTCGATCGATCTGGCCCGCATCCCGTTCATGACAAGCGGCCGCGACGGGCCAAGAATGCACAATGATTCACTGCCGTGTTGGCCCAGTCTCGCTCTGGCATTACGGGGCACTTTCTAAAAAGAAGACAACCGGCCTTGAGAACTCGCCGACAGACCCTCACATAGGTTACGAGCGGTGCGCGCAGCTTTACATAATAAGCTACAACGCATGGGGAGGAAGAGCAGCGCTGGAGACACGGATCAACTTTTACTTTGGCCACCGTGCCAAAAGGTTCATGAACTTGGTGATGCTTATAAAACAGCCAGATCCACAACATTCCTTTAATAACTTTGTCCCCTATGCAGATAAGCTGGAGGAAAGCCCACTTAAGGACAGGCAAAAGATTGATGGATTGTTCATATATTTAGCGCCTGGCAAGGGAAAAGATAAGGGAAAGGGAGCAGTCACTATTACACTATTACACTATTACACATTATTTTTAAGCTTAACTAAACTGGTTTTACGGTCAGTTACATGTCTGTTAACTTGATAGTCAACTAACAGCTCGGAAGAATGTTACTGTTTGTACAGTGTATAGGAACCATGTCACGAATAAATTGAGTTCATCTCGGAAAATGTTAATAAAACAACAAGATTAACATTTAACCATCAATAATATACGTGCAATATATAATTTTATTAGAACCTTAACAGTATTTTAAAATTAACATAATGCAATATGTAATGTCAATGGGATTAGTCTATAAGCCAATGTTAACTGCGTGAATTTAGTTTAACAAATTTAATATTTAAATAATTTACTTTTTTAATTGATAAAAAAATAATTTAATTACAAGTTACATCAACAGATTATGTAAACAAAATGAAACCGAATTCCAAATAGCTTTGTAAATGAACTTATATTTGTATAAATTTATAATTAACTATTAAACCGTTAGTGTTTAATGTGTTATTTTGAACAGTTTTAATTTTAGTCACATAGTCTCTAATTCAATGCAAAGAGACAAAATTATATATATATATGTATTGGGCAAGCGTATCTTATCTTCGACCTGCCAGATAATGGTGACAATGATCTCACTAATTAATATCAATGCCTTAGACTAGAAACGAATTATCATTGTGCCCGGAGTGGACCGTGACGACTGTTGACTGAATATTGGTTTGACATTTAAAATTATAGTTTCAGTCGAGTCGGCTTCGTGTATACTCTGCAGAGCTTGGTGTCCATGCGCAACACAAATCAATTGAACTTAAATTTTATTTCATACTTTATTGTGGCCAGAGAATTCAAAAGTTTAGTAAACATAACCGCCATTGGATCCGTATTGAGTGCCATAGTTGGTGCTAGCGCCAGCTGAGTATTTGGCCTGCAGATGAGCTGGTGTAATCGTATCGCGTCCAATCACGACGGGCACGTGCGTCTCCGCGTTGAACTCCTCAATGCCATTCGATGTGGGCTCCTGGTACAGATGCGCAGGTGTAATGGTATTGGCACCAATCACCACTGGCGCCTGCTCCTGTCCATAGGTGGCATGGGCAATGCGATCGGCCTCGGGTATGAACTGCTCCGGTGTCTGGGTGTCGGCTCCAAGGTTGAACGACTCGGTAGCTACAGCAGCGGTGCCACTTTCCACATGAACGGCCTTCAGATGCTGGGGAATCAAGTGCTCTGGCTGATAGCTGCTGGAGTCGCTGCCAGGAACGACTTGGGCAGCGGCAGCTGGGGTCGGCAGAACAGCCTTGCCCTGCGAATGAATGTAGCTGTAGTGGGCAACGCGATCCGCTTCGGGTATGAATTGCTCTGGTGTCTGGGTATCGGCTCCAATGTTGACTGACTCAGAAACCGTCGCTACCTGAGCCTCTGGAGCAGCCGCCTGACCCTGCGACTGGATGTAGCTGTAGTGGGCAATGCGATCGGCCTCTGGAATGAACTGCTCCGGCGTCTGGGTATCGGCTCCAAGGTTAAACGACTCTGGCGCATCAGCTGCAGGAGCGGTTTCCACATTAAGTGTCTTCAGAGCTTGCGGAATCAATTGCTCTGGCTGATAGCTGCTGGAGTCGCCACCAGGAATGACCTGGGCAGATGCGCTTTCCACTTGAGCTGGCTGATAACTGCTGGAATCGCCACCAGGAATGATCTGGGCAGAAGCTGTTTCCACATTAACCGTCTTTAGGTTTTGGGGAATCAAGTGCTCTGGCTGATAGCTGCTGGAATCGCCACCTGGCAGTGCCAATTGACCCTCCGAGAAGGACGAGGATGAGGAGGAGGCGCCATAGCTATAGCCCGGATGTTGAAGGTGACTGACATCCGCGGCCACCAGGCCAATAAGTGCTAACGCGATGACGCAGAATTTCTGCGATACGCAAACAATAAAGTATTGGATGAAGGGCTTGTATATGATAAGGAATATTCTTAGAACTTACCATGTTTAGGGTCTGTGCGTTGTGTTGATCTGTTGTTGGTGGCGCCGCGGTTTCAAGTTTTTATACGAAAAATATTGAAGCACATACTAGACCGTCGCTGTCTATGCTAATTGGTGGTTTATTTCTATTTTGTAGCTTTTGTCTTAACATATTTAAATCAACGCCTGAGTCCAATAACAAAATCCCGAGAGGCTTGTCTCATCGCCCAGCGAATGCCGGCAACAAATCAAGTATCTATGTATCTTTCAGATACACGCAAATTCAAGCCTGTCCAAAACTTTGATTAGAACATCTCTGGCACTGAACGGCCTCCACTAATTATAATGACTTTCGGCAACCTTTTTTTTTTTATTTGAAATTTTTATATAATAATTCGCTAAAAACACAAATTAGCGCAAACTATTTTGTTATATCTGTATATGCTTATATACTGTATACTATATGATTGTATTTTGATTTCAGCTGTTTTTTAGCATGTCATAAGCGGCTTGGCCAAACGAGTTTCCAAAATTTCGGCAACGTATTTGGTTGGTAGCCGAACCGAACCCAAATCCGTCGACTCAAAAAGCAATAAATGTCTTTAAATCACACGAAATTATCTCACTTTGAATGATATTCAATCAATAAAATCTTGTCAAAGAGCAAAGTATTAAATTAACTTGTTTACTTTTCACAACTGAAATTCTTCAAATTGCATCCCAAGTTGGCAGCTCCGACATTTTAATGTATATTAAATATATGTTTGCCTTATAAATTCCTAATGTCGTCTCGAAGTCTGCTCTAATCGTCGGTCGATCACAGAGATCTAGGTGCTCCAATTGGGTATATACATATGTACCCTTGTGTGTGTACCTAGTTAATTTTTAATATTCAATTCTCATGTTAAACACTTTTTGGCTTTCATCTAGTTTAGTTAACAAACTTATCAAGCTCTACAATTGTAAAAAGATCCAAACAGAAATGTTAGTTCAGAGAAATTTATGAAAATAGAATAAAAAGAATTATGTAAATAAAATTAAGAAAAATTCTGTTGAATAAATATAACTAAATAGTATAATAAGACCTTCAACAACTGCGGTTCCTGTCTAAAACTCACGAATAGCTTCATTAATCTTAGGTATGTACATCCTATAATGATAATTTATCTTGATACAGGGTATATCCTACGCCTGCACTTTCGTCTTCAGCATGCGCGCTTATCTATTTGAATTTTTTGTCAACATATCAATATAACGATATTGTTGTTCAGTTTCTAAAGGACTGGTCGCTGGACAATTGAAATTGAATTTTTAAGAATTGATAAGCATATTTAAATGTTGAATAAATCTCTTCAGGCATCAACAGCTGGACTATATAGCATACATAACAGCAAATCTATGGATAAGTTATGAATATATAATAAATATCACGGATATACATAGTTGAAAAATTGTATAAGCAGCTTCCACTCTGTGCAAGTTGCTGTATGGAATTCTTTTCATATTTAATTCTAGTTTTCTATTTATTTTTTATAAACTTGTAGCTTAAGCTGTAATATTGGGACTATGATAACTACGATACTTTAAAACATATGGCCAAATATTAACATTTAAGGATTATTGATAGTTCTTGATAAACTTTATGTATACAGTTCCTTTGTTGTGTTTTATTTGTAACACAATATTTTGTCGTGGACTTGCATCTCTGCTGTGCTTTGGGCTTTTGCAGATAGTTCCATCAACAGTGTTGATTATATATGTGTGACTATCAGCAGTTTTTTTGTTCACATCTTTCTTTCTTAAAGCAAAGCTAATAAGCTTTAGTTTATATGGGATAGTATTTGACTTTGCATGAATATTAATTATAATCGTCTTAATGGCCGCCGGACTTGTTTTCGAATCATGATTTAATAGCCAACTTACAAACAAAATGCAAATCGTGTGCGTCAATCTCGTTATATAGTATGCTCAATATTTGTAGATGTCTATAGAATATGCCTAACAAAGAGTTTCATTCAGTCAAGCCCAACTTTAGACCAACTGGGTGTGATAAGCTGCTACTGACTCATGATTCTAACGCAGATGTCCAGTTCTGCATAATTATGGAACCCGATTTGGTAGAGCTTCGCAGACAGCTAAACGGGTTTCGCTATGTATCGATTCTTGTTTGAGACTTTGGCCATAATATTTTAAGCTAAATTTTGTGTAAAATGCACGGATTAACATACGAGTATGTAAACAGCCAAAAAGTTGTTGTCTTTTTTGCTAATATTTTATGTGTTTTTTCCATTTCGCTTTTTTGATTATATTATGCGATTTTATCTATATGTTGATGCTGTTGAATTTGTATGGAATACCCATCAGTTCTTTTGTATTAATCCGTAATTATGGCTAGCGCCTAATTAACAGATTATTTTGAATTTAAGATATGATATTGCTGCTTCTAGACAGCATAAAATAACCAGCTCATTATGGGAACAATAAAATTATATAATAATATATAACCTGATTTGATCAGATATTATACGTTAGCTATGCCCAAATGGTCAGTTCTTTGACTACATATCTTCGAGATATTTAAGTTCTGCAATCACATCTAAATATATAAATACTTTCAATTTAATCAAATTCCAGCAATAGGCTTTCAACTAGTTAGTTGTTACACTGAGCTTATAGAGAGCATAATATTATGAGCATAATTAATAAAAATATCACGTCTTTGGGTTGTCGCTTAATTTGCATAATAAAATATCAAATGGCATGATGAATGGCTGCTTTTAAGACTCTGTTAAGCACATAATGGCTTGTAGATTAAACAAGCTCGCATATATTATCGGATAGATACAATTTTCAGAGCTGCAAATATATCTGGTCCATATGGGGAAAAGTTGAATGTTGTATTTAAGAACTTCTTGTATAATGTATATTTTGCACATTTTAATGAAACAATTTGCAGGCTAAATTTCATATCTATCCAAAGTTGGATGCTACCAAATAAAGTTGGATAAGTCCAATGCTTGGGGCCCTTGATGTTGATTTCTAACGTAGTTTCGAGTTTCTGTTCAGTTTTGATTTGAGTAACTGATTTGGTTTACGGAACGGTTTATAGTAACATATTTATTGTAATTCCGAACTCATGTTGGTTTCTTTCACAACCTGTTTGTAGACTTTTTTTAACATAACAATTTTATATATACACTTCATATGTTATATTTTACTCGTTAATTATAAAGAAATAAAAAAATAACTATGATTTAGATAACATCAGCAGCTAATTTGAGCTTAATATTCATTTTTTTGGCCATCGATTTATTATAAACATTTGCCTACATTTGTTAACGATATTTTAGTTAGATTCCAAACAAGAGTATTTGGTGTTCGGCATGTTAAATGTGTATCTTTTTCTTTAACTATCATCAAAGAGTTTGCATTGATTAGCTGGCCACTCAGAAGGGGGGTTTACTTTAAACGTCCAAGACAACTGGTAGCCGGCTTCAATGTTCAATGTTCAATGTGTATCTGTTGGCCAAATTTACCCATTGGTCTGTCTTGTTTGTCTTTGACAAACGTTGCCAAAAGCTGAGGTCAAAGCAAAAGCGACGCTAAACGTGCCCATAAAACAATTACGGAACAGCGACACATTATGTATGCCCTGGCAATGAGTAGATTTGCAAAATTACTTTTCGAGGCTGCTGTCATACAAATACACATGCTTATAGCACTATGTAGAGATTCAAATCCCGCATTCCACATACTTGGCATAAGATGCGATTTGTTGCACTCGCATATTGTCATATTGCATCTCGAACAAGGGCAACACCCAAAAAATAACAAACAGTTCGATCCATTCGAAATACTCACACACCCGCATGCACACACTTATTATAAAATGCCAGTATGTGCATATTTACCAGAGATAATATAATAATACTGATGTTAATAATAACATTAATAATAATGATAAAATTTACAATTACAATAATAATAATAATAGTGATAATAGTGATTATGAATATGCTAATGATAATAATATTATTAATAATAACATTAATAACTCTAATAATAATACAAAATAATACTACTGATATTAATTATAATAATAAATACATAATATATAATAATAACATTCATAATTATAATAATAAGTCAATATAATGTAAATGATAATAATAATAATAATACTAATAATACTAATAATAATAATAATAATAATAATAATAATAATAATAATAATAATAATAATAATAATAATAATAATAATAATATCAATAATAATAATAATAATAATAATAATAATAATAATAATAATAATGAGATTTAAGATTACAATTAACTGTTATTGCAAAAGCTGACTCTAGCTTTCAAACATAGGTTTTTTTCCTAAGCCCAATATTTGATGTGGCTACCTATGACGGAGGTTTTGTAGCTATTTCAAATCTGACACTTAATAAAAACAATTTTTTTTAACATAGAGAGCAACTTTTAGGCCATCAAACCTGATCTCAAGTATATGTATTTGTGTATGTTGGCGAGCGATTGTAATAGGGATGTGTGCATTGCAGTTTGTCAGCAAAACGGTCGTGTTTTCTTTGCAAATAACAAATAGCAGTAATGCAATGCCACACACATGCACCCGCACACATTCAGAGAGTTATGTCATTATAACCTATTTGAGCTTCTTCTTTAACTACTGCAACAACCATGAGATTCGCAAAGAGAGGCGCGTTATTTAACTTCTTTTGTGCGTTATTAAAACAAAGCTGCAGCAGCATATATTGCAGCTACTTCTATCATGTGTGAGTTCGCGTGTGTGTAAACAAGTAAACATGTAGAGCTTCCCCTTCGTAGAGCTTCGCCTTGCAGCATCAAGCAAGCAAAATGAGTGGAATGCAAATGGCCTAAACTGGCGAGGCGGCGGCGGTGTGAGGCAGCTACTGGCTGCTGACCATTTAGTTGCCGCTCTTCGGCGCCTAATTCAATGGGCAAACATTGAAACCGAAAGTTGGTCGTCTGTCTGGCGGTTTAGTTAAGCGGGCGAGGCAGTTTTTTATTTAATTAATTAACGCCAAAAGCATTTGAGGAATCGGCATCTTTATCTGCGTATCTGTAGCTGTATCTGTATCTGTTAATGCGTCAAAAACGATGCCGTTGAAATATTTGCACTAATTGACAGTTGATTTTCAAATCTGTCTGCTCCAAGGTTCAACCAATTGATTTTATATCAAAATATATAAATAAACTCTTTGCCAGCCATTACGAAATACTTACCATACATATTTTTATTGCCAGCAATTAGACAAGCGAGAGTCAAGAAAGTATTAAGATCTATGTAATTCGGAAGGAAATCTAAAGGCCAATTGTTTTTCCCCTGAAGGCATATTTTTATTGTGTATTAACAAAATCTGAATACACAAGAAATGGGGATTTTTTTCAAATGTTTTTCTTATCATTTGAAAACTCCAGCTAAAAAACGCTTTGGAGTTGCGGCTAATGAAGTCAACGGCCTTGGCAAAACATATTTTTGCCGGGTCATGGCTGCTATATTTTACTTTAAGGATAGATCTCAAATTAAAAACGTGCCTCCGCTAAATACAACAAATAAATAACAGAATTCGTTTGAATTGAATTTTGTAATTGCTGCTACTTTACAAAAATGTGAAGGGCGAAGCTGCAAGTTAAAATTAAACTTAATTTTTGGCCTGGAACTATGTTGCTTATACTCATTGCCCAAAAGTGAAGAGGGTATATTTGTGACGATTTACAAGCTGTTCAAAAATAAAATTAAAATAAAAATACCCAGAGAGATCACAACAAGTATATATTTTGACTATGCTGTATGCTGTGTGTAATTGTCTGAAGGTCCCAAACATTAGCTAGTCCTTAGCTAATCAAATAAAGCAAAAAAAGGATTTACAGAATTTCATTATACATTTGGGAACCCTATGCAGATTTCATACTTCGGGAACTTCCCCACCCTGTTCACCAGTTAGTTTTACAGATCAAAGAAGTACTGTCGATAAGCTTGAAGTTAATTTTTGCCCATACGCTCAGCAAGAGGAAGACTTGGTTCTAAGTATTTGGTAGCAGCATTTGCATAATATTGCCATCCAAATACAGTTGGCATCAATTT